TAGGAATGAAGACGGCACTTCTGAGGGCAACCCAACGTTGCCCGCTGCTCAGGGACTCTCCTGGGCAGGCCAGACCTATTCACTGTGGCAAAAAGCCGTCTGCACCGGGATTGCTGGGTGGGCGCAAGATTAAAGCCGCGCCCCTCGCCTCCCCTCCCTTCCCCAGCTACTTGGAACAAGATCCTGATTAAGAACTGCAGGGGAAGCACTATCTGCTGCACAGGATCCCTGCAGCATCAACTTCACTCTGCAAGACCCCATTATGTAAATCATAGACTGGCAGAATTGGAAGGGGTTAAGCATAAAGCCTGCCGTGTCCAATCTTCTGGGCAAGAGCTTGTGAAATTGGGCGTGTGCTCTGGTTGCACTCTCAGCCCCCCCCCCCCCGCCCAATCCTGCCCACTTGTGTGGCCTCTGGCAGTTTTGGAGAGGGGAGGGGGCAAGGCACTGCCCACTCCATCAAGGGATCCAGAGCAGCGAGGGCTCCAAAGCCAGTGAGGCAGTGTATCCACTCCAGCTTTCAATCTGAATTGAAAAAGGGGTACCCATGGTGCTGACCACTGTCCCTAACGTGGGGTCAGCCCCAGTCATGGCAGGTTTCAGACAAGGCTTGCTTTGCCTCATTCGGAAAACATTGCAGGATGACTACCCCACATATTCAAGTCATGAGTTTTGTGTGTCTCCCATCTCCTGCTCAACAGCCACTCCAGTGTATTTGGAACTGTATATCTCTTTTTATTGTTGAAAATATAAACCAGCCAGAGAGAGTTGCGGGAGCGGTATACAAGTGGAACAGCAACAGCCATCTTTTCTCTTACTGCAGAGAGCCTATCAATGGAAAAAAGATGGAACAGCAGTGCTTTCTAATTAGTAATGCCCAAAAGCCTCCATCTTGGAAGGACCCCTTGATGTGCCAACAGGGGATGGCAGTTTTTCAAACCATAGAGGTGCCTGCCAAACTAGCTGCTCTTAAAAGTGAGATCACGGAAGCAAGTTTTTAAAAAAGCTTGGCAACGCTAATTGTAGGTTAGTTTTCAGCTGCATGGACTTTAATGCTGTTCAGCTCTGGATATAAAATAAGTCCATGTGAAACCCCTTTGCTGCAAGAACCGCACCGTGCATTTGCTTCTGAGCCAGCTTTAAGTGTTTGCTGCTGGTGTGGAAATCCCTCACAATGTGGCAGCAGGATACTTGAGAGAGTGCCTTCTCCCTTAGCAGCCTGCCTGGTCACTGAGGTCATGGGAGGGCACGATCCCCAGGCGAGGCCTCCCCGGAGGGCATGTTGTGAGTGGAGCCGGGGGTCAGACTAGATGGCCCGGGAGACCCCTTCTGACACGCTCTGTTTCTATGTTTCACATGGACCCATAGCCTAGTTAGAATCTGCCCTGAGAAGGGCCTTCTCTGTGGTGGCTCCCTTTCTATTGAATTCCCTACCTCTGGAAGCCAGGCAGACACCAACTCTGCATAGTTCTTGGCACCTCCTGAAAATGTATTTATTCCAGGAGGCCTTTTTTGACAGGCCTGGTTTTTATTGGCAGATGATCCACAAGAAAAGTATAAAATGAATTATTACATTTTTATAGGGTTACTGATAAAATGTCTGCATTGCAATAAAATATAGGAAGTCTCAAAAAAGCAGTGGACAGCAGCGGTCACTAAAAGCTCAGGAAAACTGTGTAGCTTCTGGCCGCTGTCTAAAGGCCAATAATAAGGGAGTTACCTGAAGGGAGTCCACTGAACCCCCTAGGAAAGGAACAAAGGGGAAACAGGTAGGATAAAAGAAGGATGGGAGGAGCAGGATGCACAGGACAAGCTGAAAGGATGCCAGAAGAAATCCAGGGGCCTGGAAGGGCAGGCCAGAACGGAGCGCGAGGGAGGCTGTGACTTGGGAGAGGTCACGAACAGGCGCACTCTGCTCTTGGCCAGGCGCAGAGTCGGGTTCCGGGCTGGTCGAGTCTGTTTCCTGGGCGAAAGAAAGCCTTTCCTTGCTCTCTTTATTGGCAAGCCCCGAGTTGGACCGAATCCGCGACAAGCTAGTCCTGCTGCGAAGGGCAAGGGAGAGTTGGGGTTTGAACGGCGTTGCGCGTTAGAGACAAGCCGGCATGAGCAACTGTTGAGGGAGGAAGCAGCCACCCTGGGATCACGGACCAATCACTCAGTGTTCCTGGAGGCAACAGTAATTTCCTGGGGAGGAAAAGATCCTTCCTTGATGGGTCCAGTCCAGCCTGCTATTGTTTACGGAGTATTAATTCCCCCTTTTGGTTGGAGTTGCAATAGACTGTTGGTGCATGTAATCAGGGAAGCCTTCAATAAAACTCATTCAAGCACCTTTTGGCTGTAGTCCTGCCAACGGACACAAGAAAGCAAGAAGGGTTTGATGCCCCCCTTCCTTCGGACCCATTAACAAGGACTAATATCCAGTTATATGGCCCATATCCACAAGATTTGCCCCTCCTCTCCACCCTGGCAAGCCGTTTGTTCAGCTGACCCGAGTTCTGAGCCTGTGTTGTGTGCGTGAGCAAGAAGGGTGTGTGTGTGTCTGTCTAGTACAGGTACATGGGGAGAACACTCAAGCAGTCACCCCTGTTCAGCATTGTGCCTGAACATTCAAGCTCAGGAAGATGGCTCTGTGTGCTCCTAAATTTTGGCTGGATGCTTAGAAGCTTTTGGGGGGCATTTTGCCATTTTGTCTTCCATCTGTTTTCTCCTTTGCTCATGGTTTTGTCCTTCCCTTAGATGCAACCACAAGGCGGTCCTGTGATATAAACACACTTGCGGAAATGCACGAAAGCAAAAAAATTAAAAAATAAATTTTAAAAGTCCAGTATGCTAAAATGTCATTTGGAAATGCTTGGAAAGCACAGGACCAGACCTGAGAGATGATGGTGTCATGTAAAGCCCCCGCAGACCCCCATGAGTGAGGACTCTCACATGCTCAATACATGCCCTGTGCAGCAAAGCCCGACAGGCCTGAAAGCCTCATCTGTGACCTCATTCCAGCTGCAAGGGCTTCTTTCTACAAGTATATGCATGAGCTTGGTTCCCGTTGAGGAACCATGCAGCTTTAGTCCAAACACCTGACAGCTTGACCCAGTAGAGGATGGTGCCATCCCGTGCATCATAGACATTGATGTCGTTTTCCTCCCTCCCAGAAACAAACGTTGCTACCTCTCCACCACAGTCTGTGGCCATGCGGGCGCTGCCTCGGACGCACGGTGGCTCCTTGGCAAACTTGCCCTGCAAAGTCCACGCAACCTGCGAATTCCTCTGAAAGGATCGCCAAGGACTGCAAGCGATGCCTCACTCTTTGCAGATCATCGATGCTCAATGGCTCCTTCCGAACCGCCATCCTGGCGAGGTACATCGCAGGTGTCAACTCCCGGATTTCATGGTGGAACTGATTATTTAAGATACACACTAAAATCTCACAGTCTCCATTGCCGGCAAGAAACTCTGTGGGCGGCCATCGCACAGGATGACCATTCGGGCATTTTGCTGCACCAAGAGAGGCTCCTTGACGAAAATCTCAATGGCCAAGTCGAAGCATGTGTAGAGTGCGCGCTTCATACCACCCAGTTGCTCACAATGCTTCAAGAGGTTTTCGATAGTTCGTGGTTCATAGGAAGATAGCAAGGAAGACAGATATAACAAGGCATCTTTCAAGATTTTGTTGATGCCTGGATGCTTCCACCATTGCTTGTTTGCCATGGCAACTGCATCCTCACTGGTCCTGAGAGGAAAATCCACACTGCTTGTGGTTTTCCATAAGGCAGGGATGGTGAAGGACAGGATCAACACAATCACAATGCCAATGGAAAGTCTGTAAAATAATTCCTTGGCCCAAACTGCAACGTACAGGCCAAGTACTCCAAGAGTCCACTGGAAGACACTTCTCGGGAGATCAGCCACATTCCTAAAAGGACATCAGCCCAGACTTTAATACCATGTTCTGAAGTTCTGCATCTGTTTTTCATTACCATGTAAACCATATGCCAGTGGTTATTATCATGGCAGCGAATTCCACACATGAACAGTGTGAAGACGTAATCCTTCCTTGTCCACCCATCAATTCCTTTGAGTGGGGAAAGTTAAAATAAAAAGTGCATCTACTTCTTCTCTATCACAGCACCTCATAGACAGACAAGCCTTCGTGTTGCAGCCCCCTAAGTTTTGAGCAAAGCCCCCTGGTTCCATCCTCTGACAAGGTACACCTGTCGTCCCCAGCCTTTTCAGCCCCTTGGCACACCTGAAACGATGAGGAAGCGTCTAAGTGCTCTCACAAAATGGCTGCTGGGGAAGCTGCCCATTCGAAATGGAGTTATTTGGGTAAGTGTGGCCAAGCACAGAACTTTTGCTTTCCCAGAAGGCAAGCTGGTGAGGCTAAATCAACTTGCCCAGGAAGCGAAGTATGATGCACAGTTGGACTAAAAGCTCCTAAATCATGGCAGTCCGCTTTGTATGAGGGGCAAGGAGATGACACCTTTACCAGGACAGCAGTTACAGTATCACCTACATCCGGAGTTCGAATTCATTATATATAGAGAGGGAGGGAATAACTTTTCCCCTCTGCTGCAAATATATACAGATTTAATCCACCCATTGATGAAAGCCCGTGCAATTAATCAACTAAGGATGCAGCCCGCCTGTGAAGTTTAGCCAGAAATAGTCCTACTGTTCCCAGCCGGCCATGCGAACTGCCGTTTGAATCAATTAGCCTCCATAAATAACAGCTATTTAAAAACTATATAAATAATTGGCACCCCAGAAAAGCATCAAATATATAATTTCCCTTTTTATAAACTGCAACGTGCACCTCTCTTAGACTCTAGAACTTACATATTTTATGCAGCTGCTCCCCTTATCTTCCTTCTTTAAAACAGAAGAAGCAATGTAGCTTTTCAGTTTTACTTTCTGTTCATGCATATGATCCGCCTAAAACCCGCCTCCACCCTATTTAAGGTTTCCTCACACGCTTCCTTTCACTTGGCCCGCCAGCCTAAGCTCAACAAAACCGTCCGTCCATTTGCTACAACGAACCAACGCACAAAGGCAGCCGCGCGGACAGAAAAAGGCTGCTAATAACTCAGACACCTCTCCCCCAACTGTGCAAGCTTTCGCGGTCTGCAGATCTCTTCCTCAGGCAAGCCGGGCTCGATCGCCGGTTGCGGAGCGGGGAGCGGCCAGACGGGAGGGTGACTGGGCCAGAACCCAGGGCTGCGACGGGCACAGGCGCACCCTTGCCTCTCCCCACAATCCTGGCGGCGCAGCGTCGGGTCGAGTCCTGGCCGAAATAAGCAGAGGCCCCCTCTTTTTCCGCCCACATGGTTACAGAGCAGCGGCAGGTTCTTGCAGGCTGGCGCCCGGCTCCACAGGGCATGCACGCGGGCGCGCCAGCAGAGGGCAGTGCAGGCTCCGACGCGCGTCAGGAGGAACTGAGGTCGAGGGGAAGCTGGGAGGGGACAAAGCGGGTTGGGGGAGAGGCGTCGCGGTGCAGCCCCCCTCCTGATCGGAAGGTAGGCAGAGCGCAGGGGAGGCAGTCGCGCCGAGCAGCGAGCGGAGGGGGCAGCGGCGGAGTGTCCCCCGGGCGAGCGCCGTTTCGCCCAGCAGGCAGAACGAGGCGTGCTGCCACGGGGCTGCGTCGCTAAGCTGCCCCTGCAAGGCAAGGGGGACCCCAGTGCCCGGGGCGGGCCTCCCCTGGCCCCCTGGGCTGGCTCGCCGCGCAAGGGTGCCTCGGGCCGTGGGCCGGGTCGTGGGGGGCGTTTCGTGCTTACAGGACAGGGCGAGGAGGAGGAGGGGCGGGAGAGAGTCCCGGTCGATGCCAGTTCTGTGCCTGCGCTTATTGTCCGGCGAGCCGCGTCGATGTCGGTGGGAGGGAAAAGCACCAAGGGGCATCACCATTCTAAAGCGTTCCAGAAGTACAGTCTATTGCTGTTCATAGGGACAGAGATTAATCATTAATATAACTTCGTCATTGTGATTATGACATCTCGACCTTTGTCTTTACAAGGAACCTAAGGCACTTAACGTAATCCTCCCCTATTTACCACTCCAAAACTAAGCAGATTCCAAAGTGATGAACCGAACAAGATGAAAAGAAAATAGAATAAAAACAAGGCATTACAGTAGTAAAAACCACGCATATGATCCCATGATAACAGGCTCTGCAGTTCTAGTTCTAGTCTGGTGCTTTGGTTCCTCCTCCACACTGTTCTGTAAACTATTTCAGCAATTCAAAGAAATTTGTGTGTGGCTATTCAGAAAGGCTGTTTCCCCAACACTAAGGGTCCTTTGTCCATAATAAATACTCTTTGCGTTTCCGGTCACAGAACCCCATCAACTTCTATAGCTTTAAACATTTAACAGCAGGGAACGTTTAGACCCCATCTAATCAATCAAAGGTGCAATACTTTGCATGCTTAGACAGGAGAAAAATCGTACAATTCCCAGCTGGGAAATGCTGGGAGGACTTTCTCTCTAAACATGCATACGATTGTGCCATAAAGCACCTGCACTTCTGCCTGCCACACTCAGACCCAGCAACCTGCCCCTGACAAAATTCGTCCAGCCTTAAGTTAAAATAAAAGTGCCCCCTTGCGGACTGTGAGGGGCTGTTCTCCACGGACTTGAAACATGCAAGTAGTTAATACCTAAGGCTTCTGTGCGCTAGGGCTTCGCACCCTCACTGCAATCCCCAGTCCACCTTGTGATAATTAGGTTTATTAACTTCGTTTTGATAATGAATAAGGGAGAGGGAGCAATAGAGGGAGTGGAGTTTTAAAAGTTTCCAAAAAGACATGGGAGGTGGAAAGACGAGACTGGGCAATGGAATAAAGAAAAAGAAAATGGTTAGGACTTTTAGGGAGGAGCAGGAAGGGCGAAAGAACTGCAGACTGGAATGAAAGCTGGGGGAAGGTCAGTTGATTTTGAGGTGCTACCTGTACTTTGAGGGTGCAGTCCTGACAAGATTGAGAAGCAGGCAGATTAATGGAGGTGAAAAAAGAGAGTAGGTGCTGCAGTTTTGAGCAGTGCAGAAAGTCAACACGGGATCGCTCCCCCTGCATTGGGAAAAGAAGCATTTGTTTTGCTGTCACCCAGATGCAGACGACCTTCAGTTGGGGAACTCCAGGCCCAGTAGGGCTAAAGTGAGCCGAGACAGGCCTCCCTCGTCCAGACAGGGCAAGCTACTCTCTCAGAGAATCCCCAGGGAACTGAGGCTGACTGCAATGGAACAAAACAAAGCGAGATTTCCCCTTGAAGACAACTATGGATTTGTTTCAGCAAGTGTTCACTCCTTAGCTGAGCATCACAAGCCATCCGTAACTCACTTCCTCTCCAAATTGTAAACTCTGCATCCCAGAGCAAGAGAAGCATCTTGCCATCTGTCAGCAGCTCCCGATTTGCAGGTCCAGCCCAATTTACATACTAACACAGGGTTCCTTACTCTGCAGATTCCCTGCTGGCTTCACAATGTCAGGTTACCTAGAAGACTATGACATCATCACCAAAGAGGACATTGCAGAGTTTGAAAATGCTCTTGAGGGAGGCAGAATGGCGGAAGCAGCCAGCAAGATTATGGAGAACCTGCAGGCCTTGGAGAAGGCCTGCCTGGACATTGCAGTGACGGGGGAGTCTGGGTCCGGCAAGTCCTCCTTTGTCAATGCCATTCGGGGTCTGGGAGATGAAGACAACGGATCTGCTCTTACCGGGGTGGTGGAGACCACCAAAGTGCCCACTCCTTACTCACATCCCAGGCACCCTAATGTGACGGTGTGGGATCTCCCTGGGATTGGCACTCCAGAGTTTCAGCCCAGCACTTACCTGGAGCAGGTAAACTTTTCCCGTTATGACTTCTTTATTCTCATTGCCTCAGAGCGCTTCAAGTCGAACCATGCTCGCCTGGCATGTGAGATTCAACGGCTTGGCAAGCACTTCTATTTTGTGAGATCCAAAGTGGATGCAGACCTGGATGCCAGCAAAAAGCGTCGGCCACGAGCCTACAATGAGGAGGCGATACTGACGCAGATCCGAAATAATTGCCAAGAGTGCCTTGTGGCTGAAAAAGTGGTTGCTCCCCAGGTCTTTCTCCTTTCCAGCTGGGAGCTGAACAAATATGATTTCATGAAGCTAGAGGAGACGTTAGAGAAAGAGCTTCCAAAGCACAAGAGGCACGCGTTCCTCCTGGCCTTGCCTAACATCTCCTTAGGCATCCTAGAGAAGAAGAAAAAGACCTTACAGAAACAGGTCTGGAAGCTGGCCACTATCTCATGTGTAGTGGCCACTGCGCCCATCCCGGGCCTCTCTGTTGTCTGCGATGTCACTATCTTGATTAGGTCTCTTTCGGAATACTGTCAGAACTTTGGTCTGGACAAGGAGTCTCTCACCAAGCTGGCTGAGAAGGTTAATAAGCCTGTGGAGGAGCTCAAAGAGGTGATCAGATCGCCACTGGCCAAAGAGATCTCCAAGGACCTGGTGGTGAAGATGCTAACAAAGGCTGCTGGTGGAGCGTTGATGGTGCTGGAGTACCTGGCCAGCACGATACCCGTATTTGGTTCCATGGCAGCTGGCGGGATCTCCTACGCAACCACCTATCACATGCTCCAGAGCTTCCTAAATGAGGTAGCAGCAGATGCTCAAAATGTTCTCATTAAGGCCTTTGAGTCCGACATTTGAAGACGTGGCAGACGCAGAACGAGCGCTCGGTTCTGACTCGCGTACGTTCGCTGCATTGAATGGAGATTTTTTCATCTGAAGAAGCTCCACAAGGACTTCACCCACTTGACAGGAAAGGATACCAACAAAGGACATGGGTGCATGACAGTAGCTTTTTTATAACGGTGGCTGTGAAGTGGGAAACAATCTCCATTGCATCTTTTGACAAGTTTCAAATCAATTTAATTGAAGTGCCTATGATTCTCTAAACCTAAGAGTGCCCGGCACAAAAAATGCGGTTCCCAGCATTCATCGGAGGAAAGCCAGGACCGTGAAATCAGAATGTGGCTGGTTTAGATTTGTAGTGCATTTTGCATGCGCTCATTGTGGATTTTGTCCAGGAACTTCGGTGGAACAAGTCTACTAACCTTACTGAAGAGCTGAAAGATCAGTTTCTGAATGTGTTTGTAATGGTCTTTGCCCCACTGAATGATTTATAAACTGAATTCATACAAAACACTCTAGCTCCATTAATTTTCTTTAATTTCTGAAGGCAAGATCTTATTCATGCTTAGACAGAAATTGATTAAGTGAAATTAACTTAAGTTTCTATACTGCCACTTTGCTCTGAATGGCTCTCAGGGTGATTTACAACTCTCAGGATACTAACTGGGGAATGTTGGCAGTTGGAGGACTTTCTCTTATCTAAACATGCATTCTAAGTCAAAAATAGTATCTAACTAAGGCTATCAATAGCTACTAGCCTTGCTGGCTGTGTGCTACCTCTGTTCTCAGGGGTGGTGTGCCTGTGTACACCAGCTGCTGAGGAATCGGGGAAGACCAAACCTGGCACCTATCCTGCTTGAATTGAGTGCTGGACTGGGCAGACCACAGGTCTGCTCCAGCCTGGCTTTTCCATGTTCTATGCTGTTAAGTTCCACAGCAAGCACGGTTCCACTCACACAGGTGTGGGACCCTGACCTTTGTGAAGTTAACAGAATAGGATTCCTTTCTAGAAGGGATGACTTACATTAACTAGGACGCACTCCCACAATCTAGTTGCCCAGATGTCTTAGCTGTGTCACCAAAAGTGCTCCTGCACAAGGGCTCAGGGGAGCCAGATCAGAGACTTTCGAAAACCTCTTGCGCCTTCTTGTCTGTGTGTAGACCTGTGTTTGCCTATAAATATTATCAGGCCGGGATTCAAATAATTCCTCTGTGTGCTTAGAGACACCAGTCATCATTAGGGAATAGACTAACATGAAAGCAAGAACTTGTGCAAGCCATAACAGCCAAGCCAGAGTGGTGTAGCGGATACAAGCGCTGGACCGGGACTCAGGCAATCCGTCTTTCAATCCTCGCTCAGCCATGGAGCCAAGTGGGTGACTCTGGGCCAGTTACAGACTGTCAGCCTAACCTACCTCACAGGGTTGTTGTGGAGATAAGATGGAGAGCAGGGAAAGGAGAAAGATGGAAGCTGCTTTAGTTCTTCAAGGAAAAAAAGGCTGGGTACAAATCTAACAAATATTAACAACACTCAATCATAACCCAGTTTGGAGCAACACTGAGCCATGGATTCCACCTGAGAAAGACTTGCATTCACACGCTTCCTGCTTCCCTCATTCCCAGCTCATCCACAAGGAGACTGGGAGCAACTGCCTCAATCTTTAGACTTGACGGCACTAGGTCATTATGGCGGACGAACTGCAATTAGTTTAAACCATCCATCCCATATCTGGTGCCTTCCAAATGGATTGGACTACAACCCCAACACTCCCCGTCATTTGAAATGGTTGTTTCCTGCTTGTTTCAGGCAGCCCTAATTTAAACTAATTCGAGTCCCCAGTTCAAACGGAATGATAAGCCCTGGTAAAAGTGAACCAGAAAGTGCCCATTTGAACCTTGGCTGTGCTGGACAGGGGGAACTAGAAACTTAACAAGGCTCATGCTGGAAATGCCAAACTACGGCTTAGCAATCACCCTAATTAGTTCACTTTCTCTGCACTTGAGTGCAGTTCACCAAGCCAGTGTAGTCCCCAACACAACTGGGGTGGTGAAACTGTTAAAGCAAGGTGGTACGAGGCCCGCCTGCCTGCAAACAGGAAGTTCGAGCAAGTCAAGGGTGGGAAAGGGAAGCAAGAATTATAGTCAAGACAACAACTTGACATGCAACTCTCAGACAGACCCATGACATAGAAGCAAAGAAACAGAGCGAGTCAGAAGGGGTCTCCTGGGCCATCTAGGCTAAACCCTGGCTCTAACCAGCTCCTTTCACGACACGCCTACCATGTACATGTCTAGCCTATCTTTGAACACCCTCACCAATGGGGCCGCCACCACCTCCCATGGAAGCCCATTCCATACTCTTGGGGCCTCGTCAGGAAGTATTTCCTGACATCCAAATTGAACCTTGGTTCCTTGAGCTTGACTCCATTAGAGCGCTTCCTGCCTTCCTCTGCAGGGGAGGTCCCTACCCACCTCCGTGTGACACCCCCTCACATACCTGTGTGTCGCCAACAGATCCCCTCTGAGTCTCCACTTCTCCAGGCTGAAGAGACCCAGTTCCCTCAGTCTCGCCTCATACCCCATCCCCTGCAAACCAGCCACCAACCTTGTGGCCCTACGCTGCACTGACTCTAACCTGGCTATATCCTTTCTGTAATGAGGGGCCCAAAACTGAGTACAATACTCCAGTTGCGGGCGCACCAGAGTCGTGTAGAGTGGCAGTAATATCTCTCTCGATCTAGAAGCTACACTTCTGGCTATGCAACCAAGCATGGCATTCACCCTCTTGACCACCGCATCACACTGCTGACTCATGTTTAGCCTGCAGTCAACCAGCACCCCGAGGTCCCTTTCACAAGTGCTGCTCTCCAGCCACTTGTCCCCTAACCTGTACTTATGACACCCATTCTTATGCCCCAAGTGCAAGACCTTGCACTTATCCACGTTGAACGCCATCCTGTTGTCTCCTGCCCACTTCCACAGTCTGTCCAGATCCTTTTGGATCTGGAGTACCTGATCCTCAGTTGTGGCCACTGCTCCAGTTTTAGTGCCGTCTGCGAATTTGATCAGCAGACTGTTCACCCCTTTTTCCATGTCATTTATGAAAAGATTGAACATGATTGGCCCCAGGACAGAGCCCTGGGGGACCCCACTTATCACTGGCCGCCATCCCAATGATTCCCCACTAATGGTTACCTTCGGCTTTCGGTCAGTCAACCATGCCCTAATCCACCGGAGAGTGCTTTGGTGTATCCCAAAACTTCTCAGTTTCTCCACCAGGATATCATGGGGCACTTTGTCAAAGGCCTTGCTGAAATCCAGGTATATCACATCCACTGCATCCCCTCCATCTAGCCATCTCGAAACCTTGTCATACAATTCCACAAGGTTTGTCTGGCAGGACCCGTTTTTGCGGAAGCCATGTTGTGTGGCTGTCAGCCTCCCTTCCCTATCTAGCATCACTAGATCTCTATTATGAGCCTTTCCATTGTTTTTCCTACAATGGACGTAAGGCTAACCGGTCTATAATTCCCCATGTCCTTTCTACTACCCTTTTTGAAAATTGAGACCACTGATGCCACCCTCCAGTCCTCTGGAACTTCACCCGTTCTCCACGAGGCCTCAAAAATGGAGGCCGGCGGGCGTGAGAGAACCCCTGCCAACTCTCTAAGTACTCTCGGGTGTAACCCGTTAGGGCCTGGCGCCTTTGTAATGTCCAATGCCCTGAGGAGCCCCTCAACTTCAAGGGGGGTGACTCTAATCTGTGCCCCTAAGTCCCCAGCCTCATCTAATCTCCTATGCGGATCTCCCCCGTCCTGCTTTGGGGAGAACACAGAGGCAAAATAGCCATTTAGCATCTGTGCCTGTTCCCTCACATCAGTCATTGGATCGCCTTCCTCCTTATTTAGTGGTCCCACCACCTGTCTCCCCAACTATATACATAAAAAGTATAACATCTTATTTTTCTGAATGTGTCTCCTTGTATCCGTTCTTTAGGGGTACCGCTTTTCAATCACTTTTAAATCCAGACAACGCTCAGCCTACATACCCACATACGGGTGACTTGTGCAGGCACACACAGCCAGGGCCACTAGCAGAAAACACAAATGCCATATTGTGGTGGTGGTTGGAAAAAGATCCATCACAGCATGAAGTTGCTTGAGCAGTTTAATGAACAAGTTTAGAATATTCATGCAAAGGGGGAGTGGATTATCCACTTTGCAACAGAGGAACAAGAAAACTGGGTGCATGTCAAGGAAAGGGACAGAGTTGAGCAGAGACAGATGGGGTTGAGCACACTGCCCTGAACACCGAAGAATTAGGAATACATCTGAAAGTATTCAAAGCAGCAAATGAACTCCCCCATTGACCTTTGACTTGACCCACCACTACAACTGCAAGGGAGTCTGGCTGCCCCCACAGGGTAGAAGATTAGTGGCCGCCTTGGCTAATTCCCACTCTGGCTGAAGGACCTCGCAAAACTAGGAGTCATGGCACAGAGGAAGACAGACGAGCCTCCTGAGTGCGCAGGTGGAAATCAGGTGGATGCTGGGTGGCGGGCAGGTCGGCAGCCCAGCGGGGACACCTGGCCAAATCCGCATTTTACTCCAGGAATCTTGAACTGCTGGCGCCTCCTTACAGCTCTCCTCTCTGGGATACTGGCATTGCTGCGCCTCTGGGTGAGGGCAGAGATGTCCCGGTTCTCCCAGCCTGGGGGACGGGGGAGCCTGGCTGCACGTGGCAGCCCCTCTGTGGGAATGTCATCCTCACGCCAGCAGGCGGCTATACTCGGAGAGAGCAGAGGACTTCTTCACACCGTCCCAGATGCGTGCTGCGTAGTGGAACCTGTCCGAGAGAGAAAAGTCAAAACCCATTGCCTTGTAAGTATGTTTAAGTATGTTCATCCTAAGATGTCAACGTAGTATTCCAGAGGCACAATGCAGTGCAATAAAACTGTAAGACGTTGCAATAGAGACACATCAGGAGGAGTACAAAGGCCAGTCCTTTCATACGAAGCCGTCTGCTGTTCCACAATGGACTCTGTCAGCCTTCCCCTACCTGGTGCTCTCCAGATGGGCTGGGCTACAGCTTCCATCACCTAAGCCAGCATGGCTGGGAGCCTGAGTCCAACCCATCTGGGATGCACCAGTTTATGGAAAGTTGATCCGAGCCATAGCAATTCAAACGTTCTAAACAGAATTTATTTCTATGTGGAAGGGACAGGCTTCAAAAATTATTTGGGACACAAATGAGAGTAATGCAGGGGGACAAAGGACAGACTGAAAATTGGGGTCAGGCAGCCAGTGGGAGAGAGAGAAGCACGGGAATCTGGTGGAAAGTACAGAAGTCCTGCCAAACATGACCGCCTTGCATTTACCAGCTTTCAGCAGAAGCAGCTTCTTGTTCTACTATCTCGCTTGTATGAACGTAGGCTGGACACTTGGTATAAAAATGAACTTTTTATATCAAGTATCTAACCCTCATGTGCGCAGGGATATCTGGACATCACAGCTTATCCTGATACCCAAAGATACCAGGAGAACTGGTTTGTCTGCGGGTGCCCGACAGCAGTAGCCCTGCATCCTCAGACCCTGCTCATACCTCCAACTCACTCGGAATCTAGTACCTTCTGTGTTCCCTAGGAATATACTAAGAGCGAACAACATACAGATTTCTGCGAGTGTGCACAACCACAGAAGGGGGCACAGAGCGCTTTTGGCTCCAGCTTGTGCGGTGTCCATTTTCGGCCTGAATCATACAATTCAGTCCAAATGATGTGTCTCGGTCTCTCTTACCAGTTCTTCTCAGTGAGGATGGTGTGGGAGAGTTGAGGCCGGGACATAGACATAATCTGGCTCCGAAGCTTGGCGATCAGCGACTGGAAACTAGGGTGTCCCTTGTACCCGGGCAGGAGGGAGAAGAGGGAGGCGCCTCCTGGGGCTGCAAAGTATAAGGCAGACAGTGGCAGAAGGGCTTTTGGGTGCCTTGAGCTGCTACCAGAATGCCAGCAGCTCCTCCTAAGAGGACTGCAACAGTCCTTGGAAGACAGCGACGCGATCACGCCAAGACCCCCAGACCACGGGCATCAGGAAGGAACAGTCAATTGGCTTGGAACCCGAAACAATTTACTTTGGGAAGGCAATTCAACCACTAGATTGTGCTTGTCATTTCATGACCTCTGTCATTCATCAGGCCAGAACCATCTGGAGCGTGTGCATGGGAAAGTCAGCGCTGGGGGACGGGGCAGGAATGTGCAACTTTACTCTTTCTTTCCATTCAAAATACCACCTCCCAGATGGGATTTTTTTTCCTCCCCCAAGAAACAAGATATTAGGGGCATTTCTTTACCTACTTGGCTGAGATGAAGAGGAATCCGAGTATCTGGGAAAGGAACGGGCCAAACCCCTCCCCCCTCCCCCACTCAGATGGCCCCAGCAGCTGTGTTATATACTAAGAGGAGGGATTCTTGACTTTTGTAAAGAAATCTTTTCCAGTCAGCCAGCCCTGGATAGCGACCACAGCCAGCATCTTGGTTCACTCTTTGCGATATAGGCATTTGTTTTAGTGGATTTCTAGTTAAAAATAAATGCATCTCAAAGTGCTTTAGCAAGGTAAAATCATGATCAAACAAATCCAGTATTTAAAACAACCTGCTAAAACCAATCTGATTAACACAAGAAGGTAGCTGACAATGAGCATGTTCGGGGAAAGAAAGGCAAAGAGGAGTGTTGTTCCGTTGGGGTGGAAGCAGTTCCATAGAAGCCCACCTGCTTTCAGTGAGGAAATTATGCCACACGGCGGCACCAGGACTGAGAAGGCTCTCCTCCAGGCCATGGTCGCACGAGCCCCGGCAGGCTGCAGTACAGCAGACAGGGCCTCCCTCTCAGAATGTAGAGGGCATGGCAGCCAAGATGGGGAAATACAGCATTGTGGAGCAATTGTGCAGTCTTGGACTGGCTGCGTGAGGAAATACGATGGGAACCTGCTCGAAGGAGGGAGGCAGAAAGGACTCGGCCTAATCCTTTTGCTCCTTTTGGACTCTAGGAATAGCAAGGGAAGGGCAGAATTTTGACCACGCACCTGCTCTGGGCAGAGTATCATCTGCATCTGCATCCATAAAAGGCAGCAAGAACAGGTTGACCTCTGAGTCCAGGTAACTCTGGGGCAGGCCGGGAAAGATGTTACATTCCAACATGGAGAGCGTACCTGGGGGATCAGAAACAAAGAAACAGTTGCCTTAAGAGACAACTGAGTGAGCCAGCAAGAAGCAAGGTTTGCTGGCTCAGGCATGTGGCAGTGGGTGGCCAGAGAGTCAGTGCCGAGCACTGCAGAGGGAAGTGTCACTGTGTTTCGGGGTCTCTGCACTACCCCGACACAGAGCACTCCCCGCTTCTCCCCCAAACTGATTAGGGGACTGCTTCTCACGGCCACAGGATTCCGTTTTGCCTCCACAGCCTCTGGGCTTGTGAGCCATGCAGAGACAGAGTGCCCTCTACCCACTCCCCGTAATCTCCAAGTCAGCACCAGGGCTCTTGTGGGCAGGGAATAAGCTTCAGCACACTCTATCCACTCTCCCTGACACTCACAAGGCCCCCCCCCCAGACATCCTAAAGCCTGTTCTTCCGCAACGCAACTCTCATCTGTCCTCAGGCCACTCTCTGGGCTCACTGTAAAGGTGATTCCAAATCGTTTCTCCACGCAAGTTGGAAGTGCCACATTTGTACCACCTCATTCTCTTGCATGTGTAGACCAGGCCCAGCTACTCGACTACCCCGTCCTCCAAGAGAACTGGAAAAAGCAGGCATTACCCTTGTATTTCAGATGAGAGTGCATCATAATTTTGTCAATAATAAGGTGCGTCTGTTTCACATTCCTGGGACAGAAGTTCTCCCTCTTGGCTTTGTTCTGGAGAAAAACTAGAAACAGGAAAGGTTTACAGGTACCGTGGAGGAATTTCCCCTTGCCCCAGACCAATGCTCAGTCACACCGAAAAGATACGGGGCTCCACGTAAGCACATGCCATGTTGGAACTGATGCCAATGTGGTGGCAATGTGAAGAGGAAACATCTCTTCACATTTCTGAACTAGGAAGGATTATAGCTGTGAGTGGTGTGGCCTGCATGCACAGGAAGGCTGCGGGGGCACAGAATCTAGTATCCAGCATTAAATTTAAAGATGGGTTTCTGCAGCAGCACGTCTAATAGAAAGCCGGAGAAGATGTATGGAAAACGCCTAGGGATCTTGGAAGTCACGGCAGAGCATGGCGAGAAAGAATGCATAGTGGCCGTTTCTGGCATGGCCCCTTATACATGGCCCCAGGTCCATGTCCCCTTGCCCCCCTCCAAATTCTGCCTCCCCACCCCCGCCATTTCTTGCTTTCTATTTCACTCCAGATGTGGCCCCTCTTTACAATACTGCAACAGCGGGTCAGATTAATGACCCAGCTGCAAAAAGCCATGTGTGTGTTCCACCATACCGATGTGCGGGTAGTATTCTGTGCCCTCATCTGAGCCAGAAGGGCCGCTGGATTCATGACTGGGAGATGGCGTGGAGGGTTTTACCATCTCGGCTGTCTGAAGGAACCTGCAATTGAAAGACACTTCAGTACAGCGAAGGCAGACGAAGCGGGTTGCTAGAGCAGGCGTCCCCCCTCTGGTGGTCACAGGAAGGGCTGCACTGTCTCTCTGCCAGTGGTGAAGAACCTGCTCTTCGCCACAGCTGTCAGAAGCAAAATGGATTCTGCAAAATAATTTGGATTACTGCAAGGAAGACAAGGGTGAAGGGGGGACAGTAGCTTTAATGCTGCCAGAACGCGGAAGTTCATGTGCCATCTTGTCCTCCTTTCTGCATCCAGCCAGAGAACAGATCTTAAGTCACATACTGGTTGGCATTAAAGAACCCACAGGAAACAGATCCATCTCTTGCCTAAAACAGAGCTAAACTTGGTGAATTCATCTCTCTCCCCTTCACACACCGATCCACCCACTGCCTGCTTAATTCGAAACTGACTCCCTTATATTACATAAGGATCAAAATGTTACACACCACAAAATCCAGTTTCAGAAATATTTAACATTTAAAGGTATATCTCAGCCTAGGCCTAGTGAAATCTCAGGGGTTGAAAAAGATCCTCAGAGGGCCATGTCTTTGGTGCCTCATATAGCTCCTCCTTCTCCGCAGCTATCAGAAGCAAAATGTGTTAGGTAAGATAGGGGAACTCCGACAGGTAGATTTATTTTGCATTAAACTATGCTGCACAATCCAGCTTTTCTGGGAAGAGAATTTGGATGACCTCAGAGCAGAGCTCAGACGTATGTGCAGAGGGATGACTATCCCCAGCCCTGGGCTGGGGCAGCAGGGAAGCAAAGGGCCCCCTCTACCCCAGGCACTGGGCCGTGCCCAGTTACTCTGACTTGGTTTCTACGAATTCCCTCTTCATACCTGGAGCTCCCCTCCAGGTCTCTCCTGCCTCTTACCTGTACAAGCTCAGGTCTGTAAACCAGTCTTGCACCACGATGACCACGTGGCAGACGGTGAAAAGAAATGCAGCGATCTGGAGGGACTAGAAAGAAAGCACCGGTGAGCGGGAGGGACGGCATATGGCAGGCCCTTCAAGACGCAAGAGGAGAGCAGTGGAGGCGCTGACCCAAGTCCACGTTCAGAAGGACGAAAGACACCTTTGCTCCTGTACTGACCTTCCAATTTAGCTGCTCTTTTGGTTGGAAACAGTTTGGCATCATATTAATGGACAGAAGGGGTCACCCAGTAAAAAACCAGCAAGGGGGAAGCCAGGTAGCAAGGAGGATAGAACAAGTAACAGAATGAAAAGAAGCAAGACTGAATGGAAGGGGAGGGGTCTACTTCTCCTGTGCCTCTCCATGTTTCAGTCACACATACCCCCAGAGCAGTGGTGGTGAACCTGTGGCACGCAAACCACAGCGGGCACGCAGAGCCCTCTCTGTTGGCACGCGAGCCAAGTCACCCCAGCATGGCCCCAGCAGTCGAGCATCGGATAACAGCGCACACAGGGGCCATGTGCATGCTCGGAAAGGAGTAGTGGTGCCAGGCGATGATGTCACGAGCCGTGACTCATTAGCCGCGACTCGTCCGAGCTTTCGCATGGCCGGTCAGTGCGCTGCCAAGGATATATATATATTTGCTTGACTGGCTGTGAGTTGTTTTTTCTAAACTAAAACCTCAGTTTTCAGGTTTTATTGCAGTGTTGGCACTTTGTGATAAATAAGTGGGATTTGGGTTGTGGTTTGGGTACTCAGGCTCTAAAAGGGTCGCCATCACTGCCCTAGAGGACACAGGGCCTGGCCCATTTCGGTAGGAAGGCTTACCCTACTGCCTTCCAGAAGTGAAGATTCTGTAGTTCATTCCTTAACACCTGCTTCCTCCATCACCACCCACTGGGCAACACACACAAGGGAAAGAGGTCGCTACCTGCATCTCGACGTAGGTATGGGGTAGATTATACTCCGGAGGCAACTTGCGGTCATTGTTGATCAGGTGGTCTAGGATGGAGGGGCTGAGAATGGGCTGCAGAAGAGAGCAAGAAAAGCCCTTCAGGGGTTCCATCTATGCTCATGCAGAGGCTACCCTGGAACTATCCTATTCCTTGCTAAAGTTCGTACTTTTCTGGGGGAAAGAAGCAAGGCACTGGCCCTTCTGCACCTCTCCACTAAAAGTATCAGCTCACCTCCTGGATGCAGCAAAGCCTCCTCTGAAAGCAACAGAAAGAACTCTTTTGCTTATATTCTTAGCTCCTGTTTGCTTGGCTTCTTTCACCTATCTAGTCACTTAATTAATTAAGTGACTTAATTTAAATCTAGTATTTTCATTTTCCCAACTTTCCTCCCCTCACCTTCCACTGCTCCCCTTTCCTTGTTGTGGCTTGGATAGCACAGGGTCCCCCATTCTGTGCTCCCACAGTTGAGATCAGGCACCTTCTGGAACCGTGGTGTTACCAAATGTTAAGGAATTCAAATCAGGTCAGCCGTCTTGATCAGACACCTTCAGTCTCCAACAAACCAGTGACTGGCAAATCAGCTGGGGCCCAGGGGCAATGACAGACTGCATGGAAGGGTTCCCCCAAAGGGCAGCTGGGAGAATTTCCAGGAAGACCAGCAAATCACAGACCTGAGTGTCAAGGAAGATGATGCGCTCCTGGGTGATGAAGAAGTCGATGCCACTGGTCTGGTTGCCCCCACGCTCCTTGATCTCCTGGCCCTGAGTGCGGAACACGTAGGTCCTGGAACAAGATGTAGGATTGGCAGAAAGGAAGCGAAGCTGGGCCGATCGCTTGTGTTATATTGTATGTGGGGCAGTGCAGTCAATTCAGTAACTGGCTGAGCTGGTACAATGGCATGGAATTTCCAAGTACTTTCCAAGTACTTAAGGAACTAAGTTCAGAGACCATCTGCAGCTCAGTATGTGTGAATGCAGGGAAAGTAGCCTGTTTGACTGGGATTAAAATTCTACTTGGGTATTGGGGAAAGGTTGAGTTTCACGGGAAAAGCTGTGGTTCGGAAATAGGCCTTCGGAGGCAGGGAAATCAGAGAGCCAGGAATCCCAAAGGCAAGGCAGTGGACAGAAAGGTTTCAGATAAGTGATGGACTGAGATTCAGTTAGATGAAGAAGAAAAGGGCTTGATGAAGCAGACAAAAGCAAAAATATGAGAAGGGGAGGTGAAAGCTGAATGTCATTTTGATTTGAACCAGCCAGTTCTTTTGACTTCAGGCTTCTGCTACCTCTACAACACCAGTACAACTCATCTCCCCAAACCAACCAAGATCACCATAAAGCCATCAACTTTTCCTTTCCAACCAGTTCACAATTGCATTGTTCAGCATGGCCACGCATCATTACCAAGCGTTTGCAGCTGAAAGACTGGGAAAATGTCAAATGCCAGAACTGCTGGCCACCCAAAAGGAGCGCTGAAAAGTCTCCTCAGCGACTGTCCTCATTCAATTCATTCTACCAGCCTCATCATCCAAAATTTTTTGTCAAACAATCCCAGGACGCATTGCAGCTACAGTTCCCCTAGACCAGCCCCCAAGTACCTTTGGTCATCTTCAGGCTGATTCGCTGAGAGCAGTGACATCACCATGGATTTGCCAGTCCCCTGGAGTCCCAGCACCCCAACCACCAGCACGTCTGTTTGGTCCAGGAGGTACTAATTTGAGACAGAGAAGGGCGCGCTTGTCAACACAGCGTGAGGCCACACCGGCTCCGCTCTATCCCGCGCTATTATCCAGTCCTGGTGCGGCATTGCATGGGCAACAACAAAATGGAGTGAGTTCAGAGGAAAGCATCAAGGGTAGTGATGGGACTGAAAACCCGTTCCTACGAGGAACAGTTGAAAAGAGCAGTATTTAGCCTGGAGGAGATTAAAGGGAGACCCAACAGTTTTCAAATATCTGAAGGACTGTCTCACAGAAGAGGGAACAGATTCGTTCTCTCTTGATCCAGAGGGCAAGACTAGAAGCAGCGGGCAGAAATTAGAGGAAGCAGATTTAAGCTAGGCACCAAGTGAAGCTTCCTAACAGCAGGAGCTGTTCTGCAGTGGAGAAGAGTGGGTGGGATCTCCTTCACAAAATATACCTAAGCAGAGGCTGACAACCATCTGCCAGGGCTGCTGCTGATGCCTTGCAGGATCTACTCTGGGGGGGGGGGGAGGGTCGGAGCAGATAATCTCCAAGGTCCTTCCAACTGTACAATTCAACAGCAAGTAGAACAGAGATCAGAAGAAGCACAGACGCCAGCATTATCTAAATGAGCGTTATCCCTCTTACTCAGCAAAATGGGCCGTTCTCAGGAAAGAGGCCCACTCCAAGGAAAGCAAGGCCGAGCAGAACAATGCTACTATCTAGTATGTAATGATTGGGAAAGGGGCACTGTCAGGGAGCAGGCATGTCAGAGGAACGGAGACGGGGGGGGGGGTGATCCCCCTGAGCTCAGCCATACCTCGATGGCACTGTCACACCAGTTCATCTGGTCATCCACCAGTTTGATGCTGTGCTTCATCTTCTCTGGAGCTAGCAGCTTGGCCTGGCCAACCACAGCTAGAAAGAGAACAGGCAGTCAGGACTGAAGGACCACCGAACTGTCACTTTAATCTAGCAAAGTACATCTCAGTTGCAAACTTACTTCACAAATAGGCATTCTTGCATTGGTACCTGGTTAACCTAGCTGACAGCAACATTTCTCCTGCAGAAACTGTTTTAAATAATGCACAAGAGGCAATATTTACGGAGCAAGCCCGGTGCCAATTTACTATGCTTTTGGCTCTAGGTGAAGACTGCCCTGCACATCAAGGGGTTTAACAGCTCTACACAGTACACTGGGTAGAAAGGGGCTTTATTCTGGTTACAGTAACCTGTCCTGATTAAGTTCATTTTTTTAAAACATATGAAATGTTATGATTTTTTCGGTTATTTGTACTTCATGATTTGTTGTAAATCCAGAGAGCTTTGACGACAGGATGACCCAGAAATAAAAGTGGCAATAACAACTCCTCCTTGTCCCTTCCCAGCAGTTAGTATTACCAAGCAAGCCACATTCAGCCCTTGAGCTGCCAGACACACATGGCTGCACCTGCCGTGCCAGTTCCACCTCAGCAGGCCCCCGTCCCTGTACTCACGATCCATGATGCCGCTGGATGCTGTGGAACCCATGCCTCTATTCTGGATCTGATAGACGGGCTGCGTGGGGCGCTGGCCCTCCTTCTCCACCTTGGCGACAGCGACAGGGGGCTGAGCTGACGTCTCCACTGGTCCTGCAGGGCCTTTGCCTTCCTCCCGTGACTTCATGAGCACAATGGGCTTCTCGATGGCGGGGGCAGGGGCTGGAGTGGGAGTGGGGGTTGGGGCCCCCTTGGACTGTGAGGACACAGAGGCTGAGATTCAAAATCCCTCTTGGCCAGCAACAGACAAGGAGCCACATCGGCCGAGCTCCAAAATCCCGCTCCACCAGCAACGCACACAGAGCCACAGGGGCTGAGACTGCGGAGTCCCACTGCTTTCCCAGAGCTGGGTGCACAGATCCCTCTTCCTTTCCTCTCCATGCCACTTAGCACAGCAGGAGCGGCAAAGAGGAGCCTCTTCTCTGGTGCGGATGCTCCTGATTCTGTGTCTCCACACACAGCCCTCCCTAAATCTTCCAGAGAGTCAATTTACAGGGAAAAGTTGCAATGAGAAGGAAGGGCACATGTGCGAATGAGAAGAGGGAATTTCCTCCTAGCTCAGAGAAGAGAAGAAGAGGGAAGCAAGGGGAGAAAGGGCAACCAAGTTGGCCATATGTTTTGCAAGCAGAGGGGAGGGCATAACGCACCGATCAGCCATTATAACCTCGAAGCTTTGGGTTAATCAGTGGCCCCTGACTGGCAGTGTTGGCAACTTTGGTTGAGACTTGGTTGGCAAGCCCGTTGCTCTGGAATAAGCCAGACCTTCTGAAAGTGGGACAGGGGGGCATAGAGAAGGCACTATAGGATCAGGTGAGCTGCCGGGCCCATCAGGGGACAGTGTGGTATATCAGGCTTCCCCAACCTACCCTCTCTGCAGGTGGCTTGGCTAGGATGATGGGCGTCTTCTGCATCACGGTTCCCACCGGCTCATCCATGGGCTCCTATAAGGACGGCAGGGTCAGGCTGGGCACCCAGGTGGCTCCCTCACCTTATGCCTGCAGCAACCCAAGTGTGCACGTTACCCGTCGGTCCCGGTCCCGGTCCCGGTCCCGGTCCCAGGGGACATAATCACGGTCCCGGCCTGGCCCAGACAAGCTTTGATGACCCAGCTCCTTATCACGGTTCCAGCGACGGCGGCGTTCATACAGCCCTGGCTGGCTGTGCCCCGATTCTGACATGTGGAAACAGAACCTGGAAATGGAAGGGAAATCCTATTAAGCTTCATCAGGGGTGGGGAAGAGGAAGAAGGCTGGATATTGGGCCTAGATGGGGAATAACATCAGATATCATAAGGTGCAGATAAGGCCTAGCAGGTGCAGGGTTTGGATACAGGACAGGTAAGTATACCCAAGAGAGGATAATAACTTGGGAGCAGTGAGAGTGCACAGAGAACTGTTCATTGGAGGACACAATTTCTGGAAACTCTAGAAAATATCAAAAGACCAGCTTTGAACTGTTTGTAACCAATGCTGTAATGTTTCTGGCAAAAAGTCCCGCCACACTCGGTCAATCTGCGCTGACACTGTTTGTCTTTTCCTATCCATGTTGCCTTCCCAAAGAAAATGCTGGAAACACAGACCTGAGCAGCTTAGTCATATAGTAAGAATAAAGAGTTCTGCTAAAACACTTCTTGCTGTTCACATGCTTAGGGATGTGTGTTTGTGTTTAGTTGTTTGTGCATGACTTAGCTTGGGAAAAAGTAGCTATGGTTCAAAATAGCATGCACACTGATCTCACTTCTAAGCAAGGAGTGCTGGCCAGGGGAGCTAATTCAAAAAACAAAAGGAAAAGAAATGGCTTTTTAGATGGCCAGCCATTGAAAGGAAGACCAGAAGAATAACCCAAAATCAGACCCCCGTGTTATATACAACAGCTCAACTCAGAAAGCTCGATCAAACTAAATTCACTCAAAAGCTCACCCACTTGGGGCACCCCTAAGCTACAAACACTAATAAAAAGGATATTTTTAATTGATCAGCAAGGCCTACCAAAATGGTACTCAAGGAAACTAAAAAGAGCTAAGAGCAATGTGCAAATAACAACGTGTTTCTGAGCATGTGCAGAGTGTCCCACCGCTCACTAATCATAATACCAACACCCAAACCTTTGGGATTAAGAGGAGAGCTTCCAAGTCAGAGCTTCTAGGAAGCGCCTCAGCAGCTTGCCCCCGAAGCGGGTGGGTGAGGATACAAAGGGACTATTATATTCCGCGGAAGAATAATCGCATAACAAGTGTGTAAGATAGCTCAGCACTGGACCTTCGGAGTGATACGCGGTAATGGGGCCGAAGGTGGTTGCCGGCACTACACAGCCGGCGGATGAATCTACTGACCACTGCTTAACGTTCGGAGGTAGGATACTAGCGCGAACAGCGGATTTACTGCCCGCCCATCCTCCATCCCGCGGAGAAATACCTGAACGGCGGGACGGTGAAGCCCGGTGCCCCGCTTAGGGAGAAGGGATCCCGGCCGAGCGCCACTTGAGCCAGAAGGTAGCGTCCGCCCGGCGCGGATCACACCTCGCTGCTAGGAAGCTGATACCGCTGTCTCAGCACATCTTGGAAGGTAGCAGGGCCAGGAGCCTCATCGGCCACCGTTGTTTCCGCCAGTGCGCATGCGCAGGAGAGCAGAACCTCGCCCCCGAGTAAGCGCCGTTAGCCTTGAGTTGGCGCATGCTCAGTCGGTGATAAAGCGACTGTCCCTTGTGAAGCGGCGCTTTCCAGAAGTTACAGGCACGGGTTCTCGTGCGCGCATGCGTAAAAGACGGAGTAAAGCCTTAGACTTTGGTTCGTGGGCGTGACGTGGGTCTGGATAACGAGGTTAAAAGACCGCGGGAGGAGAGCACAGGAACAGTCGTGTTCAATGCTTGGAGCAGAATTGGAAAGAAGAACGACAACCGCATGTGAATTCAGACTCTAAAACTGCCTTTTTGCCCCTTTGCTTTGCTGTCACTCTCCATAGGAACAGTAATTCACTAACAGAGCACTCCTACTTATGGCTACTCAGAAGTAAACCACATTGAGTCCAATGATTGTACTTCCAGGTAAGTGTGCATAGAATTCTAACCCAAGGCCTTAAACAGAAGCTTGGAGCCAAATGACTGGCTGGCTAGAGCAATATTCAATGCAGTACTACAGTATTTTGAAGTGACTGCATTCTGAAGTAAGTCCGATTGAACTCAGTGTCATTTATGCCCCATGTTTTAGATCCTGCACTGATGGGGGAAGTTAAATGCCCTTCTGAGACCCCCTGCAAATCTTAAAGCCCATGATTCTAGGAAATGCGTGCAAGATTGCTGGCATAAGAACATAAGAGTGCTGCTGGATCTAGAGATCCAGTTGACCAGTATCTTGCCTGTCACAGAGGGCAGGTATATGTCTTTGGATGTACACTAGCAGGGCTGGAAAGAATTTTTTTCCTCCTGTTAACCTGCAGCAGCTGGGAGTCTGCCACCAAAGCTGGAGATTCCATGACTCAGCCTAACCTACTGAACATAGCTGTTAAGAGAAGGACTTGTAAGTTGCATTGGCCTCTTTGTGGGGGGAGGGGGGCAGGAACTGGATGCAAATGCAATAGTATTAATATTTTTCTACAGAACTCAGTTTATTTGCTCAGTCCCCTTTTAAAGCAGTCTGATCCTGGTGGAATCAAAATGTGATGCTTGTGCACACACCTGCTACTTAGTAATGGGCATTATCTCCTTTAAGATGCCAAGTCATAGTATTATCATGACAGCAAAGGTTGGAATAATTCTTCCATGCAAATGCAAAAGCAGTCCTGTTGGAGGCTGGATTCTAGACATGGCAACATTATGCCCCCTCCCCAGTCATTCCCTTTAGCTTTAGCCCATTCTCTTTTGCAATTCAGAACGAGAAATGCTTCTTCATGCCCTGTTGGAATGCCTTATGTGAGTTCATACTTGGAATATGCAAGTCCTAAGTGGGCCACAGGACAAGATGGGCAACTCATTGCCTTATGACAGCCACCATCAGCCATGCTTATTTGGACAGCTGAGAGTTGTAGGCCAAAATACCCAAGTCACCCACCCTTATTTTAGGGCACACACACTGCCTTTCATGCATCCAAACATCCTTTTGGTTTGGAATGCATGCAATCCCTAAAGCGGTGCCTTAGAGCAGGGGTGGGCAGAAAGCATTGGGAACATCAACTTCCAGCATTCCTGACCGTAGATCCATGATGGCAAGGTTTCCTGGGAGTCGAAGTCCGAAATCGTGGCTATTTACCTCTAATCCACCCTGCTTTAGAGCATATGCGGAGTGCCTTGGAAGCCACCTACTGGCTTCGATACACCCGTAATTAAATAAAAGTGACTTCCGTGGCCGCGGAGGACGAGGGGCCCCGGGAGCTCTTGCGGCGCCTGTAACCCAAACGCGGCACGGGGAGTCCTGTGCGCGCAAAGATCCGCCTCGAAGGCGTTAGGAAGGTGCTTCCAGGGGTCCATTGCTGCTCGGAAGGCGGGAGGACTGCAACTCCCAGCAGGCACTGCGCCCCGCGCGTGGGGCCAGTTTCCGGCCGAGCTGGAAGCACCGCCGTGCGCCTTGCAAAGGGGAGGCGCGGCCGCGGTTTGTAGGTCGCATGGTGGGAGAAGGCGCGGAGGGGCGGGCGGGCTCTCCTGGGAGCGCGGGCGCCGAGCGGATGCCGCCGGCCGCGGTGCCCCGTGCACCATGCGAGAGGGGTCGCTGGGCTGCCCCGGAGCGGCTGCAGCTGCGAGGCCTGCTGGGCACGCCTTGGTAGGTCTCCCTGGCCGGAGCTAGGCGAGCGTGCCGCCCGCATTGGCGACACTGCGACGAGCCCGTCCCCGCGTGCATCCCGCCGAGAAGCGGCGGACTTGCCGGGGGCTGGTCCTTCTTGGCGGCTGGGTCTGAGCGTGGCCTGGGACGGGAGAGGGGAGTGGGGTGCTAGATTTCGACCCTTTCTTTAGCAGGGAGAAGGTCTGAAGGAGGTGTGGGCTATCGGCACTCTTGGATGGCCTCGTCGTTAATGTGTTAGCCAGGGCCTGATTCTTAAGTGGGGCAAAGTGAAGTAAGAGTGCAGCGGCCGCATCTCTGTGGCGTGAAGTGGTCCATTGCGTGACCTGGCCGAGCGAGATGCTCCTGATTCTTTGCAAAAACATGGCCCAGAAAGAGCAGTCTCTCCCGGCCTCATGCCTGACCCCCAGATGTGTTGGATTCCAGTTCCCATCCTACCTAGCATGTACTGCTGGAGTTCGAGTCCAGCAACTCCGGAGGGCAGCAAGGCCAGCCTGTGCAGGTAGAGGTTTGCTTACAGCAGAAATTGGCCCTGGCCCAGCTTGCCTACCCTGGGCTCCACAAGCTCTATTAGGATGGCTGTGGACCACAGTTGTGGAACCTTTGAAGGCTGCAGGATGGGGATGGCCCTCCATTATGGGCCTGCACTTGGTTCTCATTGGAGACCAGCACGTGACGGTGGGTCCCCACAATGTGATGAAATAATTAAGGAAGGACGTCTGGATTTGGTAGCTGCAGCCATTCACTCATACCTTACCATGTGAATCTTGTTGAAATCATTGGAACAAGCAGTATGATCCTTGTAATAACACTTGTTCCTAAGCAAGAATGGTGTGGAAGAGGGCCTGTTGACAGATACAATTTGCCCTTGCATTGCTCTCACTGCAACTTTTGCTGGACCTGTCTCTCTTTTGGGGGCGGGTTGGCAGCTTGGTCTGGCAGCCTCAGCCTCCTTTGCTTCAGGTTCCCTAGATCAATCCGGGACCCCTGGGTCTCATTCTCATCCAATTAGGTGTTCAGCAGAGTGGGCATCTCATGCTGCTTTCCTTCCAGCACCTAAGCTCAGAGCACAGTCCTGGGGCTTGAGTGCTCATGCAGTGTGGCTGGCAGTTTTGGATTCAAGTGCTGGTTTTCAGGAGAAAGTGAGGTCACTCAAGATGTTTCTCCTTGTTTCAGGGTGCTATGGACTTGGTGGCAGGGATGGAAGTTGGGGCTGAAATCGAAGTAACCGAAGACGGGACTCTGGAGGAGTTGCCTCTGCACTTGGTATGGAGCGGGGCCTGGACTCCTGTTGCCTTTTTGGTGTGGGAATACCCAACTCCTTGTGCTCACAGAAGCATCTCGGCACTCAGCACATGGGATTCTGCTCTGTGCCTGCCTACCGTCCGCTCCCCTGTTTGCTTGGTTTTTGAAATTGGTCTGAATTTTGTGTGTACTTACTTGGGAATTCTAGTTTGCTCCATCAGATATACTGATAAGACATCCTAGTTTGTAAATAATCCCCAATTTCTGCATGAAATCTTAGTTCATAACTCTGTGGATCACAATTGTGAAGAGTGTGAATGCTAAGCTGGGATCTGTGAAGTTAGGGTAGCTTATAGATATTTTATATACATGTGAGATAAGGCTTGTAGGCAGCTTCTAGGAGGAAATGATTCATAAATGTGAGATAGCTACAGAGAAAGGATGGGCCTTGAATGAGAGAGAAGGCATTTATGGAAAGGTGTGTTTAAGATTTAAATCCCAATCACTTTAGGGCTTCATAGGTCAAGACTAGGAACCCCAGTTTCTGCACCGAAACCTTCTGAACTCTGTGATCTGTATAAATGAGGCAAACTGGCAAAACCTCTTCCCTGGTGCAATTTATGCTGTGACTTTTTGTAGTATTTAGTTCATTAGAAATCTACTACTAGCAGTGCTTCAGTAGGAGCAGAATTCAGTAGTGAGAGGTCCCCTTGGAACCACGGTGGCTCCCAGTTTGCTTTCTGGCCCAATTCAAAGGGCAAAACCCTAAACAGCCCAAGAAGCGGATATGCTGCAGATTGCAACATGGATATCCCAAGCATTAGCCTCCTTTCCTACAAACCTGCAAGGGTTTCCTGTTCTTTGTTTGTCCACCTTCTGAGATGAAGCCGTTGGGCTGGTCCATGGGAGCCTTGTGCTCCATTCTCAGGCACAGATTCCAGATCTCTTTGTCCTACCACCCCAGGTGCTCGACAAGGTCTCTTATTTCTGGGCCTTCCAGCATCCTGTAAAATGCATATATTGGTTCAGTGTATGTGGTTAATTTATGCATCTACTTGTTCTGTTGGTCTTATTTGACATCTCTCTACTGTTTCATTTTCTCAAAATTGTTTTGCTTCTGTTTGTATAAATTGTCCCCCCAGCAGTTTTGCATGTTGTTTTGAACAAGAAAAGTGGCATGCAAGCAACTGAAATAAATAAATATAGAAGCAACGGTCTGTGCAGTGCTCCCACTTCAAACAGCCCTCATTTGGTTTCTAAGATTCTGCCTACATTTCCAGGCCTACGTTCAGAATCATGAGGACTGGAATCTTGAGAGCTCACTTAGGACAATGAGTTCTACACCCAAAGCTAATTTCTGTGCTTTTCCCATCCTTGTACACAACATTGACATGTGCAGAGACCTGTTCGTATGTGTTATTTAATGATACTCATTTACCCTTCTGTTAACAGCACTCTCTTCTCTCTTCCCCTCCACCACCAGGAAAATGCTAAGAACTGCCTCTCTTGGGAATCCCTGGACATCTCAAGCAGTGATGATGATGGAGAGGCCTACTTCACCTTTTGCTTGCCTGTTCGATGCCCACCTCGGCCTGTGCAGCGCCCTCCAGCTCAACGACCCTCAGCCCTTCCTTCCTCTTGTGAAAAATGGATCCCTCCCTTGTACCCCTGTCCCTTGCGGCCGAACCGTTCCGCCTCGCCCGGGATCCCCGCGTGTGGCGCTTATCAGTGCCAGCGGTGCCTGCAGGTGTTCATGGAGGAGTGGCACTATGCCCAGCACCTCCAGGACCACGCACGGGAGGAGGAGGCCCAGCTGCAGCTGGCCCGGCTGCCGCCACCGCCCCACTCCCCGCCACGCAAGCTGCGCTGCCTGGAGTGCGGCAAGCGGTTCCTGCGTCCCGAGCACTTTGCCCGGCACACCAAGTGGCACCTGAAGCTGGTGCGGAAGGGCATCCGGGTCTGCCACAGGAAGGGCAGCAGGCGAGCCACGCAGGTCTCCTACGTTTACAAGCCCCTCGGTGCCGCGGAGAGCCATTCGAGCGCAAAGGAGGCACCTGGCCGTCCAGGTGCGCAGGAGAGCCCAAGGCAGTGCAGGAGTCTCCCTGCCCCGAGACTCCCGAAGGCGAGCAAGCGGAAGGCTCTCAGGCAGCAGAGGAGGAGGCCTGCTGGGGGGTTGCAGGAGGATGGCCTGCTCGGCGGCTCCTCCCCGGGAAACTCTGTGGCCGTTCTGGACGGGGACATTGGCGTGAACTTCCTGCAGCCGTGGCAGAAGCAGGAGGCAGTTTTGGAAGGCCAGGTGGCTGGGGGACTGTTCCAGACAGCGGAGAACCAGATCATCATCCTTGACGAGGAGGCGGGCCTTGTGCCAGCTGCCCCAGAGCACCCCTTGGCCGAGCTGCAGGCGGCCCTGTTTGACGGCCCGGGGAACACGACCCTGAGGCCGCTCTTCTTCAGTGCGGATGAGCAGGCTGCCGCCCTGGACGCTCAGGTGAACCTGAGTTCTCTGCAGGTGGCCGGCGTCAAGGACCATGCAGCCGTCGCGCCCAGCTGGGTTGGCCAGAACCCTTGCACGCTTTTCCGGACTGTGTTCCTGCAGGCTGAGGAACAGACAGCTGCCCTGGATGGCCAGGCAGAGCCCGGCCCCCTTCAGCAGGTGATCATCAAGGCATCAGAGGTCTCACCCACTCTCTACCTGGACCCAGATCCTCACCTTTCTTCCATGGATCCAGCCTCTTTTCAGTTCGTCCCTGTGCAGCAAGAACCTCAATTCGTAACTGTCCCGTATGGGAATTCATTGGCCATGGACCACACAGAGCCGACAGGTGATGGGGAGAAGACATGGGAGGTGCAGACGACCACCTACCAGTTCCCAAGTTACTTGCCCAGCCTGTACCAGCAGAGTAAGCAGCCACCGCCAGCAGCAACTGCCGGTCTTTCGCCCAAAAGCTCCATGGTTGTCCGCCTGTTCCCGTGCTCCCCTGGGGACCACCCTGAGGTCTTGGACCTGGAGTATGACACGGGAGGTGGCATTCCGGTGGCCTCCGAGCCGTGGGAGGCAAATGTGAGGCCCGAACAGGAAAGCTGCAGCACTGAGGAGCTGATCGAGGACAACTTGGTTGTAGTGGAGGTAGACGGAAGCTCGGATGGCCAAGGGTTGGCGGTAGACCTCCCTCAGAAGGGCTCTGGCAGACAGCCCTCGCGCAGGACTATAAAGCCAACCGATAGAAGCCAAGCTCGGGGTTTCACCTGCCCCGACTGTGGCGTGCGCTACGGCCGGATGTCCCAGCTCCGTTCCCACCAGAAGGGGCCAAAGCGCCGAGGACGGCGCTGCCTGTGTGAATGTGGGGCTTCCTTCCACGGCCTGCTGCATCTCCTGCGGCACCAGCTGCAGCACCTGGAAGAAGCGCTCTTCATTTGTGCTACCTGTGGGAAGTCCCTCAAAGGACACAGGGGTCTGGCAAGGCACGGGACCTGCCAGCCTGGCCCCACCCGCTTTGGCTGCCCCTGCGGAGTCCGCTTCCAGCGCCTGTCCCGTTATCTCTGGCATCATGTGAGAAGCCAGCGGCCTGGCCTGCGGGTTTACACTCTCGCAGGCTTCCTCTCTTCGGCCTGAGGGGCCCACGTTGCCCAAGGCGGAAGGGAGGAGAGGGAAGTATGAGTGCTTCCAGCTCGGAGGTGCAGATTGGCGTTGGAACGTGAGGACCGGAGCCCCTTACATCTGGGGGATGCAGAGCATTGCTCAGAAACGGTTTACCGGTTGTGAAGCTTAGCTGATTTCTGTTGGGATCTGTCTTTCGCACCTCTGGTGTAATTACAATGAAGATAATTAAAACAGCGAAGATGCTGAGCCCCTGACGTCTTGCTGGCCTGCAGCTGAGGCTTTTGGCAGTGGAAGGCTGAGGGAAGCTCCTGGCAGACATCGGGACACGATGGTTCTGTGGGTGGTTGTGCGTTTAGTAGAACAAAGCTGACGTGTGCAAAACAGATCGAGAGGAATGGCTGGGAAAAGGCTGTTCATGCGTGTAACTTGCGTGGCTGTGAAGTTGCAGGGTCTGCCGCGCCCACTTAGTTCTAGCCAACAAAGTTAGTGGTCAGGAGTGATGGGGATTGGAGTCCCAACGTTTCAATTCACCCACCCTGGGTTTCTTAGAATGCTCCACAATCCGGAAGCTGGAAAATATCCAAAATAACCTGATATAAAAGAGATCAAGTCCCAGGAGGTAAGAGAATAAAGTGTGATTTTGGGAGGGTTCCTTCAGTGAATAAAAATGTTATTTTCTTACCTCCTGAGAATTGTTCTTTCTTTTCCGTTGGGCAACTGGACTGATAAAGTGGAAATATCCCCAGTGAATCAGTCATCGGTTTCTAAAAATCGCTGGTTTGTTTATTTTTTTAATTCAAGCACTGGCACAAGCTGTAGGTGGCAGGCAAGCGCCATCCTTCCAAAGAGGCATCCACCCGCTCGGATGAGGGCTTGTCTCCAAGGCAGGGGTGGGAAGCCTTCCCCTTATGGAGGGCGGCAAGTCTTCCGGAGAGGAGCCTTGAGTTGGCAGGGTCGCCCCTTTCCTCTTTGCCCAACACTGACACCCTCTCTCTCTTTTCTCATTCACTTTCCCCACAGCCAAGGAGGCTGCCAGGGGAAAAGAATTTGCTCTTCCCGGAGGTGCGAACCAGTTGCTTCCAGGGGTCTTACCTGGATCGCCTCACTCACCCCACCAGGTGCGGAAATTGTGCACTTCCAGGGGCCTCCTTGTCGTCTCACATCTCTGTCTGGTTCACTTGCCTCCGCCTGCCTCGGGGGGCGCTCTCCGCTGGCACGGAGGCAGACCACGGACTGCCCATTTCCCACCTCTGCTTTAATGCGATGCCCATTTGTGCATCTCCCATAAGCAAAGCACATGTGCATTTCTTCTTTAAAACTATTGGCTGGGATCCACACCGAGCTAGAATAATCTTAGCCTCAGTGAAATGGATGGGTTATGGCTAATCACGTCCTGACCTAAGGGTCCGTGTGCGTCAATAGCAACTGTGTTTAACTTGGAGCGCAATCCCATGTGTGTTTTGTCAGGAAAGAGTCCGCAACAGGGCTGGCTTGGCATGCTGGAAGCTGTCACTTTTTTCTGTCTAAACATGCACAGCGGTCTACCCGAAATCTGCTCCAACCTACCATGTTTTCTGGTATGCAAATTAATGTGAATGGGCATTGATTTGACTAAGATACCTACATTTATTGAGGGTTAGTCCTGAACAGGTCTGTACTGTCTCCATATATTTTCCATGCAGGAAAGGTGAAGGGTGCCGGCATTTCTTCCTAGCAGAACTCCGCTGCCTTTAAAAGTAGGCAAAGCTTTCTCCATCACTGTGCCTTCATGCCATCAAAAGGGTCAGAGGCTGAATGTGTTGGTTATGCAGCTGTTAGAGGTCAGGAGTCCTGCTAGTGTTTAAAAAAAACCCAGTCCCAGAGTGATGTCGTGCCTACAGAGAGACTCCTCTTCAGTCAAGTGGTGAGAGCAGGCCCTTGAGCCTGTCCCGCTCTGCTCTCTGAACTTGGCCATTTGCTTTGCTAGGCAAAGACCCTCCACAGGGGCAGAATGGAGCCAACTTCAAGTATTGCTGAGAGAAAAAAACGAAGCACCTGTAGTAGACAATATAAGCTCATTTTAAAAGCTCCTACTTAAATTTCCTGATAAGAAAACAAAAGCTGCCTGTTGAGCTCAGATCAAAGTCCTCCAACGTGTTTCTTTCCCTCCATACCTGCCTGACAGGTGGCTGCGGATGAGCAAGGAATCCAGGGCCGCCTCTGCGATGCAGATTAATCTGGGCTGCACAGAGCATTAACTCCTGTATGGGTTGCATGAATTCTGGCTTGTGGGGATCTGTGAATTTAGCCATGCTAACAAAGCATGTATTATGAGCCACAAACAACTACCAAAAAATAGTCTCTGGTTTGTTACTGGGTTTTGAACTGTGGGGTGATGTTCCGTGATAAAACATAGCTGTGGGGTTGTTTGCCAGTTTATAAAAGGGGGGGGGGTCAGAACCCAGCCACTCTAACATGTTGTTGAGATACAGGGAGGGAGTGGGCAGAAGGGGGGGGCATTTCAGGGGGTAAGAAAACAAACCAGCCGTCTGCCAGACATTCATGGGTGAAATCCACCACAGGTTCCCACTAGGTGCAAATCAGGTCATGGTGTTTATAAATGGAGCTTCCATTTATCATGCCGCCACCTGCACTCAGGTGCACTGGTTTAACTTGTTGACTTCATACTCTCTGAGGCGAGTCTCTCCTGGCAGCACTTCGCTTTCAGATTTGATGTTTTGGGGGCTGGAGGATCTGTTTCCATGGGGGAGAGGAAGCTGCTCCCCTCCCTTCCCTTAGGCTAGAGTACATCAAAATCCAGAAATCTTGCCTCATGTGTATCTATTTTATTTATTGCTTCTCCTGTGGATTGTCAACATTGCAACTGTTCTGCCAGTATTAATTTTATTGATCAGAATTTCCTTTCCCAGAGACTCAGGGTTGCATTACAGAATATTTGCTCTTTATCCTCGCAGTAGCCCTGTGAGGTAGGTTGAGGACACTGAGCCCATGCAGAATAAACAAAAGCGGCATCTGTGACACAGAAGCAACGGCATTCGATCTTCTTCCTGCACGGGCTGGTGAAGATCAGGCGCCGCCTCGGAGCCTTTCGCATGTATCAACATGGCCCTCGGAAGTGAGCGGCACAGACCTGTCGCTTAGGGCTCGGGGGACCTGTGTGTCATGTCGCCAGCAAGGAGGGGCACCCAAACCTGCCGCCCGACCAACGGTTCCACCAGGCCCCTGGGTGAGGCAGCTTCCATGGGCCCCCTCCCTCCCTGCGCTTGCCTTCTCCCCACCATGATCACCAGGCTGGGGTGCTGCTGTCACTTGCTGGGCGGAATGCCAGCAAGTCAAGAGGGCCGTGGAAAGGCAAGTCGCGAGGGTGATGGGGGCACCATTCCAGGGGCCTTGGCTGTGGGGTGGGCCCCCCTTCCCACCCTCGATGCCAGCCCCAGCACCGTGCCACCCACATTCTGCCCAAGGCGCCCCTGCCTACATTCAGGTCTGGAGCAAAAGGCCAAGAGTGGGGAGGGCCTCCCTGCTAGACGTCCACGCCTGTTTTGTCCCAGGCAGACCTGGGCTGCTGCTCAGGTTTCCAGCACTGGGGCAGCTTCTGCGCTTCTCACTCTGCCCTTTTACACTTCGACCATGCGGCACGGCCTTCTGCCGAACTGGACCCTTGGTCCACCTAGCCCGGTACTGTGTACTCTCCCTGGCCGTAAACCTCCAAGGTCTGCAACACACAGAGGCCCTTCCCCAGCCCTGCTGGCTCCAGGTTGCTTCAGTGGGGTGGAACCTGCAGGCTCTCTCCATTGCTGTTGCCTCGAGTGCTCCATGTTGCTACTGCCTTCCCCGGGCGTTGCGTTCTTCTTTGTGGCAGCCCCTCTTGCAAGTGCTGGAGCAGGCCGGCAGGCGCGCGCTCGTTTTCAGTAGGTAGCCCGCTCGCCCACACCTCTCTCTCTTAATTATTTGGAAATGAATCCACCACCACAAGTTTTCTAAAAACAAACCCAGCCCCAGCACACAAGTGTCCCTGCCGGAAGGCACAGAATGCTTGCCGTACACGGCCCGGGCACTCGGCCCTGCACAAGCCTGTTCCTGAAAGGCTGGAGGCCCCCCCTCCCCGCGCAGCAAGCTACCAACTGCTTCCTGTAGATTTGATCCTTGGCCGAATGGAAGACGTTTGTTCTGCCAAAGAAAAGGGGCACGAGCTTTGCATTCCATGGCTGTGAGCCTTTCCTCCGCTACTCAGGCACGTCTCTTGCCACTTCCTACCCTGTAACATTTTTGTTTCTGCAGTTCCAAATCCTGTTAGATGTGATGTCTTTGAGTTTCATCCAGGATTTGCCTGGCTAAGTGTGCACACCTTCACCCGCTTGTTCAGAAGCACACAAAGTCTTCCTGCAGAGTATCATCCAAATCCTTGCCCTTAACTGGTGACGCTAACACAGAGCTCGTCAAGAGTGTGTGTCACAATTCCCCTCCGCCACAAGGTGGGGTTGCAGGCCCGTGTCTCCCTACACATTGCTTGACTATGGCATCCATAGTAAAGGCAGGTGGTGGGTTTCAAGGTTCTTGGTCCTGAGGCTTCTGTGGATGGATGAAATCAACAGCTCTTTAGCCACCTGGAAAGGAGAAGGCAGTCCCGGTTAGCCCAGCGCTGGCATGCCTGGATTGGCTAGCAATGGTCTCGAGCTGGACTCAAGCCATTGTAGCTGCCCACCCGCTTATGGTAGCAGCCCCACTGTAGTCAAGGGATGAGGAAAGATTTGCCTGCTATTCAACTTCTGGAGAAAAGCAATGTTTCCAATGTGGAAAAGATAGAAGGGAAGACTTCCTAGAGCAGTGGTGGCGAAGCTTTCAGAGACCGAGTGCCCAAACTGCAACTCCAAACCCACTTATTTAATGCAAAGTGCCAACCCTACAATAAAACCTGAAAACTAAGGTTTTAATTTCGAAATAACACCTCACAGCCAGTACAGGCTAATATATCTATCTCCTTGGCAGCACACTGACCGGCCATGTGAAAGCTCGGACGAGTTGTGGCTAATGAGTTGTGGCTTGTGACGTCATTGCCTCGCGCCGCAACTCCTTTCTGAGCTTGCGCATGATCCCTATGTAGACGGTTACCCATGCTCGGCTGCTAGGGCGATCCCAGGACAACGTGGCCCCCATGCTGACAGAGAGACTGCTCTGTGTGCCCACTGTGGCATGTGCGCCATAGGTTCGCCACCACTGCCCTAACCCTACCCTGCTGCACTCCCCTAACACTAATATAGGGGTAAAATACTGTTGAAAGGGGCAATTTTGAAAAAGCCTTCCTTGAAGAGCTTTTTCTGCACAGCTCATCATTTCTGCCCATTCTAAACACATTCTAACCCTCCAAATGATTCCAGGATACCTCGTTTTTCTCACCCTAACCCTAACCTGGTACACACCCCTGACCCTAATATAGGGCGAAAGTTCCATTGAAAAGGGCGATTCTGAAAAAGCCTTCTTTGAAGAGCTTTTTCTGCACTGCTCATCATTCCTGCCCATCCTAAACATATTCCAACCATCAAAATCATGCCAGGACACCACGTTTTTCTAACCCTAACCCTACCCTGCTTCATTCCCCTAACCCTACTATAGGGGTAAAAGACCGTTGAAAGGGGCAGTTTTGAAAAAGCCTTCCTTGAGTAGCTTTTTCTGCACTGCTCATCGTTTCGGCCCATTCTAAACACATCCCAGCCACCAAACTCATGGCATGGTGCTGGCTCCAGAGATACACATCTGTCACTCGCGGAGGATGGCAGCACCCTCCACATCAGCCATAAAGGGGGTCTGCCTCACGCCTGAGAAATGGCTGGTCTGGACCACCCTCTGGAGAGTAGAGAATGTTTGAGGAGGGGCCACGAGCGGCCAGTGCGACCTCTTGGCCCCTTTTACAGGGTGGAGGCACACGCGGCAGTCGCCTGACATTTGGAGACGGAGGAAAGTGGGCCGCGTTTGCCAGGCGCTTCGGCCAGTGAGCGGCACGTGGGGTGCGGCAGCTCTCCCCAACTTCCATTCCAAAGTGAGCAGCGTGGTGCACGCCAATCATTCCAGGCTCCATGCGAGGTTAAAGCAGTCCTTAGTTAAGTGAAACACAGTAAGAAGTGGAGTTTAGTCCACTGCTGCCTCATATAGGTGCCCGCAAAGATACGATCCCGTGTCTTTGAAGTGGCATTTCAAGTCATGTCCCGTAACCACGAGGAACCAAACAGCTCCAGGTGCTTTTTTGGCCATGGATAAGGCTGCAAGCAGCTCCAGAATGGAGGAAGTGCGAGGAGGCGCCTTCCAGGGAACCCTTTTATGCGGCATGGGTCCCCCAGTCCTTCTCCTTGCACAAGGTATCCGAGCCCACAAGCGAATCCACATTCTGTAGAAAGGCACGAAGATACGTAAGCAGACAAAAGGCTTCCAGATGCCACACCAACCTGCCTGCAGGTGAGGAATCAGAGCACCTGCCGTTCCTGCTGCTGCGTCGACTCCACCAGGGCCGAGAGCAGCCTGGTCATCTCATCCAGCTTCCTGTCCAGGGACTCGATCCTCTTCTCCAGCTCCCGGTGAGAGCTGCTAAGGCTGGAGCTGAGGTCACACATGATCATCTGCATCTGTTATGGCGGGAGAAGAGCAGGCGATGGCAGTGGTCACACTCCAGCCTTGCTTGCACATTTCCTTCGGCAGAATGTGGCTCACAGGTGGCACTCGCACGCACAGACGGGCACGCACGTTTAAAGGCTCTAAAAAGTGGGAATGTGACTCATTGGCACCTCCCAACTGTAACAGGAATTGTACTTTGGTGAAGAAATTGAGGCTTCTGTTCAGAAAATCCTCGATCCCCCACAGACACACACATCTGCCAACTCCTTAAATAATGGAAGTTCTTTTAAGAAAAATCTTGGAAACTGAGCAGAGCCTGGAAATTTGATACTGTCAAAGTCAAGGAACGGAGTGGGGTAGGCAAACTGCGGACCTTCAACGATTCTGAAGGAATGCAATGCATCAATGCGCCACCTGGAATCACGCCTGCAGTGCATGTATTTTGCAAAAGGCATTTTTGATTTTTGGCTGGACCACAACACAGAGCGAGGAGATCAAACCTCTCCTTTCCTCCTCATGTTGCAGGTGAAATTGCCCCCTTCGACCCGCGTGTGCTGCAGAAGGGCTAACGACTGCTTTGAGGGGGTGACATTTGCTGAGGACACAGCAAGGGAGAAAACATTCCCCTCCTTGCACGTGCTGACCAAAATGGCTTGCTCCCATGCATGCTTTTTATCATTTTTTAAAATGACAGATGTGATTCCCAGTGATATATTTATTATAGTATCTAGTTTGGGTGTCAGCCATAATGGGGTGGATGGGAAAACCAAGGCTCTCGGAAGAAAGGTGGGGTTTAAAAAGCCATGAAGATGGGGGTGGCGATTCGCAAGAAGAATGGCATTTTCCCCAGCACCAAGGATAGTGCATCCAAACGCAGGGGAAATGTGCTGTTGTCACAGGCACACGGCCCCAGTGCTCATTAGGCCAAAAGCTGCCCAGGAGGGAAAGGCGGAGTGTGCGGAATTCCCACCCCCCCAACCCTGCAAAATGCCGCATGGCCTGGACAAGGCCACCGGGACAGGGGAGAGGACTCACCTTAGAAATATCCACCATGGTGTTGACTTGATCTCGGATCTTCCGGTGCTTCATCCTCACATGTCTGAACCTGTGTCAGAAGGAGAGTTACATCCCTGCTGCCAGCTATGCCTCTTTTCCAAATTTCAGCTGGGTGTGAAAGCAGGGCTGAGGTAGGCGTGACTGCCGCGGCCCATGCTTCCGTCGGGGAACCCCGACAATGTTTGTTGCATGAGTCTAATTACAACACCGACCTTCCCAGCAGCCTCTCATAGTCAAGAATGGCACCCAGCCCTGTACAAGTGAAAGTGTGCTTTTTCTTCCACATAGAGCAAATCAATGCCGAATGGCAGCCATATCCTATTCCCATGCCCACAACTGATAGTGTGATCTAAAAACCAGAACTCCTTCTCCGAAAAGCTGGTGGAGGGGTTTGCATGGAGGAGAAATGTGCATGCATTGACCATTCTTCTGGTAAAAGCTAATGTTATGGGATGTTTGCTTATTCTACTGAATTACCCCTCCTGTGACTTAAGAACTAAGAAGTCAAAATTTATTTATTTATTTAGCAAGCTTCTATGCTGCCTCATTTGCCGAAGCCTCGGGGTGGCTCACAACAATAAATAAATACACAATTAACCATATAAAACAATATAATTGGAGACGTCCTGGCCATAGATATAAAATCAATAAATAATATTAACAATTAAAATGACGTTTAAATAAAAAGGTCTTGGCCTGGCGCCGAAAAGCAAATAACGAAGGCGCCAGGCGGACCTCTCTGGGGAGCGCATTCCATAGATGGAGCGCCACCGCAGAAAAGGCCCTCCTCCGGGTACTCACCCTCCTAATGTCCTTCACGGAGGGCTCCCGGAGGAGGGCCTCTGCCATCCTAGGAAACCAGCAATCCTAGCCTCCACCAGTGTTGATGCAGGAAATGCTGAGTGTAGAGGCTGGCAGTCCCAGGGGCCACTCCCACAGGGAGAGGCTGTACTTGCAGGCAGCCGTGGGATTTATTAGGGGCATAAATATGATTGCTAATAAGGAAGTGGGGGTGCAGACTCACGTTCAGCCCAAGGCCAAATTCCATTTCAGAGATTCAGTGTTGGGTAAAGGAAAAGGGGACGGGTCAAAGGACACAGAACTGGGTGGGTTAGCTAATATCCTGAAAGCGAGAGACAAGGTGCCCTTGACAGGTTGGAGCACTGGGCTGAAAACAACAGAATGGAATAGAGGCAAATGCCAGGTTCTGTTCTAGGGAAAAGAAACCAAATGCATCATTGCAAGATGGCGACTTCTTGGCTCAGTGATATGATGAGTGGGAAGGATCCTGGAAATGCTGTGCAGCCTGAATATGTGTCAACAGTGTGATGTGGCTGCAAAAAGGGCAAATGCTATTGTAGGGTGCATTAATAGAAATATCACTCCCACATCACGTGAAGTACCACTTCCCCTTTACTCGGCACTGGTCAGGCCTCATCTGGAGCACTGCATCCAGTTCTGGGAACCAGTTTAGGAAAGAGGCGGGGTTCAGAGGAGGGCAGCCAGGGTGAGGAGAGACTGAAAGATCGGGCCTGCTTAGCCTTGAGAAAACTGAGGGAGATGTGCTAGCATTCCTCAAGTACTTGGAAGAGGAAAGACAGGATCTCTTCCCCATCATCCCAGACTGCAGGGCATGGAATAACAGGCTCGAGTTACAGGAAGCCGGATTCTGGCTAGAGATCAGGAAAAATTTCCTGACTGTCGGGGCAGTAGGACAATGGAACCCATGACCTAGGGAGGCTGTGGGCTCGCCCACACCAGCGGCACTGAAGCGGCAACTGGACAGCCATCTGAGAGGGATGGTTTAACTGGGAGTCTTGCAGTGAGGCGAGGGCTGCACCCAAGAGCCCTCTGGCCCCTTCCAACTCTACTGGTCTATGAGTCCAGGGGTAAAGATGAACCCCAACCTATTTTTGCTTAATGCTCTTATTGTCATTAATTAAGCCTTGCAAGAAGCAGCATTCCAACCTTCTGGGGGGGGGGATGGGGAATCCTGCCCAAAATTGAGAACCCACCAAACAACTGGTGCCACTGGAGAGAGTATGTGAGCACGGCATCTGGCAAACTACAATTCCCAGGCTCCCCCAGGGCAACGGAATACAAGTTTGCAGTACACTTGTGTCCTTTTGAGTATGGCACCCACCCCAACCTTCTTATAGGCAAGGCAGGAGCCTGGAACAGCCAGTCGGACTGCCTGCGAACACGGACCGGCAGAGTCCAATCCCTCCCAAGACGCCCCCGATCTGGACTTCACCGCATACATGTGGATGGCTGCCAGCAGCTTCCGGTGGTGCTTGCGTGCTCGCAGGCCGTCCTTCCTCTTGGTGTGCTTGTATAACAGCCAGGCCTCTTGCAGTACGTTGGCAGCTGAGCATTTCATCTGGAAGGGCATGAGAAATGGAGTGGCTCAGTTCAGTTCCGCTTCCCTTACTCGCCTGGCTGCGCTCGCGGCGAAAGAAGGCCCACGCCACTGCCTTCAAAGAGGCCCCGCAGCTGCCCGGGGCATGGCAATTCGCCGCCCTGCACAGTCAGCGATCTCAGATTTCACAAGCCCACACATGAATGCCCAGCCTTCCGTTCCACCACAAGGCCGATGGGTGGGCTCATGGAACTTTGCTGGACTGCAAGTACAGGAGACCAGTTCAGAAGCTCTGCAGATGCTCTTTTGACGCAGCCGCCATCACGGCAAGACAATGTGGTGGTTGGAAGGAACGCTGCGTGCCCAAGAGTCACTCCCGGGCATGCAACGCCGGCGGTGCAGCTGCTGGGGAAGGCTGCCGTGCGCTGGGCAGGAATGCTGCAAGAGTCCTTCTGCCAAGCCTGAGCACCAGCCCCTCTTGCGCAATCCTGTCTCTGCACTACAAACAGCCACCTCCAGTCCTAACCTCAAAAGCCCCCTGCAAACAGCCAGTGCAGGACTCCGGAAGAGAGGCCTCTCCCTGGGGTCTTTCATTCGGGAGAACCGATTGGTGTAGTGGCTGAGAATGCTGGGCTGGGAGATCCAGGAATTCTGGGTTCTAGTCTCCACTGAGCCATGAAGTTCACCCAGTAACTCTGAGCCTGTCATATATTCTCAGCTTAACCTACCTCACAGGGCTGTTGTTATGAGGATAAAAGCAAGAGACCCTTGTAAGCCACCTTGGATTCCTTGCAAGAGGAAGAATGGCAGGATACAGACGCACTAACAATGGCAACTAATGAGGATCGAAAAAAGATGTCCATTAAGCCGTGTTTCAGGTGGAAGTTTTTCCTGCCACACCTAGAAATGCAAGGAAGTGAACCTAAGCCCTTGTGCAGGCAAACCTTGTGCTCTTCCACTGAACCAGGGCCCTCTTCTTCCAGCTGCCTGAGATAATTTTAACAAAAGATGCCAGTGAATGATTCAGGGGAAGTTTTGGCATGCAAACTACAGTTTCTCCTGTGTTACAGGGAGGTGTGCTTGCCTGTATTCTCTCTTGCATTTTCTTTCCCTTTCCCCCACTATAATAGAGTCGAAACATGTAAGAAGAGAGGAAGAGAGAAGAATCACTGAACCATGCTTTATTTTAAAAAATAGTTCAGCACTATGTCTAAAAAGCAGATGTGAATCAAGAATAAGGTGGCTGGAACGCTACTGATTTGCAACCCGGTAAATAAGAAGGAAAGGAAGGTTTCAAGCTAAAGATAAGAAGGAGATCCATCCTCAAAACTGGCAATTTGGCTTATGTTACATGTTTTGTTGAAATCAATTGTTCCAATAGGTGACAGAGTCTTCTTACCTCTTTGGCGCACTGGATGTCCATCATGAAGTTATGCACATGTTTCTCAGCCCTGCTGAATTCCAGTTTATCCGCTGCAACAGCCACCAGGAGCGCCGTACAGCCCACTCCCTGCAAAATAACAGGACGTGGCCTGAGCAGATGAACGTGGGAGCGCAGAAGAGAGATGCTCATGCCCAGGCTGTGGCGGGAGCTTGTATTTTTACAGGTCATATGGCTATGCTCCGGCATTCCACTTGTGGGCAGTTTCAGGGACTTGAGAGCTTGCTCAGAATGAGGTTCCCAAGAAGGAGGCTGCAGGAGTCCTGTGCTGTTTCTTGGCCAAACCCTTCTTTACACCAAGGTCAAGAGTGGGGTTCATAAAGCTCCCAGGCCAACAGACCTCTGCTTCCACCTCAGGTGCCTACAGATTTTTCCCCCAGATAGCACGTGCTTCTTCCTCTTCTGTTCAAACTCTCCAGCTGGACCTTCCCTACCCCTGGGGCAACAGAAATGACCAATTCCAGCAGAACAAAAGTCCATGACTGGCCCAAGGCCAACGTGGGGGTTAGAAGCCGGCCTTTCCCAAGCCTCAGCCCAGCAGCCCAGCCACCAGCCCATGCCAGCCCTGTGCGAGTTCGTTTAAGGGGCGAGACGGCGTAGCTCAGGGGGCACCTGCTTTGAATGCAGGAGGTCTCCAGTTCAGTCTTTGGTGTCTCCAGGCAGACGAGGATCCGACCCGGAGGCTCCAGGGAACTGCTGCCCCTGTAGTCAATGGGCAGACCTGCCCGGTGTGCTCCCAGGCTTTCGAGGGCCCCTGGGCGTGACTGCCTGGATAGGCCAACCCCCTTCTCCCCACCAGATTCCCCACAGCTCCTGCTCCTTGTCCTCACCAGTACTACCAGTTGCTGGCCGAGTGGGCAGAGCCCGTGGCGCCTCCTGCCACCGCCGCCTGGACCAGACCAAAAGGGCGGCCAGCAAACCAGCTGCAATGATGCAGAGCGGCGGCGGCAGCGTGAGGGGCTCTTGGCTGTTGCCCAGCCAGGCCCGCTGTAGACTCTGCAGGAAAGCCAACAGCTCACTCGAGGGGTGCCGTGCTGCCAGGAGATGCTCTAGGAGTCAGAGCAGGGCAAGGGTCCCTGGGGAAGCGCTCAGAACATCCGAGATATGCGTTGATTTGACGCGCTCCATTCAAGCACGCTTGGTATTTCATGCTATTTAATTTCAGTGGGTTCACAGTGGGTCACGCTTAGAGCAGGACCTGCTGAAACTGAAGCTCTATTTATTTCAATGTGTCTACTCTGTGTGTCTCTGGAATACGCTCCCCAGAGAGATTTGCCTGGTGCTGTCACTTTATTCTTTTCAGTGACAGGCTAAAACCGTTTTTATTTTCCCAATATTTTAAGGTTTGACTGTTATTTTAATATGAGTTTTATTGTCAGAAATTGGTTAGGATGCAGTGTTTTATTTTTTTTACTGTTAAACCGTCTTACTGTAAAACCGTCCCAAGAACTTGGTAAAGGACAGTCTAAAAAGCATTAAAAATAAGTAAATACATACATACATGCATACATACATACATACCCTAAGTAAGTCTGGATTTGACCCAATGTGAAAAGGTTACCTAGCTGCTGGTCATTTATGGGATTTCTAGCTAGAAACTGGGTTGAAATCAAAAGCAGACCAAAAGAACTGAGCTGAAAGCATGCAAGAATTCATATTCTCAAGGAACTTCAAATTTCAGATCATGAACTTCCTTGTTCGACATTACTGTGAACTGTTGTGGGAGTGATTCCAAATTTGAGCAAGGGTGCATTTCGGCTCACAACTGCAGGAGATGCCAAAACGTCGCTTACCATGACACCAGTGAAGAGACACACCACCTTCCCGCACGCCGTCACCGGCACCACGTCCCCGTAGCCAATGGTCAGGAAAGTGATGGGAATCAGCCAAAATGTGTCGCTCAGGTACTCATTCTCTTTCATATGCTTCCTGGCAGGTAGAAATGAGGGGAAGTCCATATGACATGCCGTTTTTTATATTTCTGTATTTAGGGTTTTAATACGCCCCGCTCTTCCGTGTTAACACACCTGAGGCTGCTTGAGGCAGTGTCAAAATAAGGAAAACAATAAAAGCCAATATTTTCTCTCTCTCTCTCTTTCGAACCCTGTCACTTCAAGGGACAAGCTGTTCATTGTTCTGCCGAGTGTGATGGGCCAGGTGTCAGCCAACAGAAAGGCTGCTTCTTCAGAAACAAAGGGCTTCTTTGGCAACAAAGAGCGCAGGGTTCAGGGTGTTCCAGAGGACCCCCCCCCTCTCCCCCCCCCCCCCCCCGCCCCCCACACTTTTTTTTGCCCCCCCCCCCCCCGCAAGGCTGAACTGCCTCTTCCGAGGCTGAGCTGCGGGCAGAGCTTTCAGCTCCAAGAGGCCGGTATTTCTGGCACACCCATCCCTGGAATCCAGTCGCCGGGGACTTCACTGGAAAGGAATTCGGCCCTCGGGCGGGACGAGGTTCTCCACCCTGGCACCGGGCAGCGTGACCTGGTGGCCCCAGGAGGTGGCCCCACGTACTGACAAGCAGGGGCCCCCCTTGGAGGAGAGACCTCCGTGCGCGCCCACGTGGCCTGTGCAGCAGGGTACCTCCTGCCCTCACCAGAGGCCTCCCCGTGGCCAGGGCCGAGCCGCGGCTCCGCGTGGCTTCTGCACTTGGAATGGGGCAGGTGTGGCAGCACCTTGCCTGCTGCAGGCAGGTGTCTTTTAGCTGCGTGGTGCCCAGCGAAGTGCAGAGGATGGAATTCCTGGACTTGCTTGGAAGGGGGACTCCAGCTGCAGAAATTCCTGGGTAAAAGGAAGGCCTTGCTGCTGGTCACCCTCTCCTAAGAACAAGCTGTAGAGCGCTTCCTGCCCCAGTTGGCTCTTTTCCCCAGATTCCACCTGTGGCTGGAAGGACAGGTGTTCCCATGACAGCTTCGAAAAATCATTTGATGGTGAGCCGTAGGGGTCAAGGCTCTTCATGCAGGTGAGTGAGCAGGTGAGAGGAAGGACGGAGTGCTCCGTCCTTTGCACCAAGCCCAGGGGGGCAAATGGGACCATTGGGACACAGGAAGCTGCCTTTCGCGGTGAGCGAGCCTTGGCCCATCCAGCCCCATATCGTTGACACTGACTGGCAGCAACGGGCTGCCAGGGTTACAGGAAGAAATCCTTCCAGCCCAAACTGAAGGTGACCAGTTCTGCTACTGGTCTAAAGCTCCATCCTGTCCTCCGTAGGAATCCTGTTAGAGAAGGGCCGGAGCAAAATACGGAAAGCAAAGCTAAAAGATGCAGGCCGGTCAGATTTGGGGGAGCTTGCTTTGCTGCTCTGGACCCAGACGAGCACAGACACAGCTGCAGGCTGGGGCTGCAAGCTGTCTTCCCCAGCAGCCGGAGAACTGAGGGCCCCTGGAAGGCTGGGCCCCACGGCCTCCCAGGATAATCCCCACTCCAAGCCGGAGGTCAGCCCATCCCCATCTACCCTCCAAAGAAGAAACCGCTGCAGGAGGCTTGCTGGGCCTGTCTGCAACCGAAAGAGCATCCACAAGAATGCTGCAGGTAAACCCCAGTGCCTCAGCCGTGCTTTGCCCTCCTCCCTCCCAGCTCTTCTCCCTTTAGTGCCGTGACTTGCCCACTGGACGCCCCAGGGAGGAAACCGCCTTGCCCCATACGCTGCCTGCCGGGAGAGCCTTCCAGGGCGGAGGTGCCGCTCAAGACACCGCGAACCAGCACCGGCGCAGCTGCAGCAGCTCCTCACCGTTCGCAGACGGACAGCACCCAGAAGGCGATGAGCCAGAGCCCCATGGTGAAGATCAGCAGCGCCCGCCCCGGCTGGCTGTTCACCAGCACCCGCAGCACAAAGGGGTACTGGAAGTGGATCTTGTTGAGGGAGCCGATGCTGCGGTAGGAGGCGTCCCCCAGCACGCTGCTGCGCAGCAGCACAGCCCGGGGCAGCAGGTAGAGGCGCAGGAACATCAGCAGCGAGAGCAGCATGTCGGCGTCCGAGAGGAACAGGAACGTCTGCTCGGGCGTGGGGTCCAGGCAGGGGAAGTCTCCGTCGGGGAACGGGTGGAGGGAGCACACCAGCAGCTCCAGCGCGATCAGGCCCAGCTTCGGGGCACTGACGGCGATCCGCCAGTCGGTCAGGGAGTTGTCCAGCATGAAGAGCTAGCGGGGCGAGGAAGAGGGAAAGAGAGCGGCTGTGACAATCGCTGGCGGCCCCTTCTCCGAGGGGGTGGGACCCGCTCGCTCCCCCAGCCAGGATGGGGCGTACAAGGGGCACGGCCTCCTGGCCCAGGATAAGAAGTGCACGAGGGGCTGCAGCTCCATTCCAGAAGCGTTCGTATCCCAAAGGACAGAGTGCCTCGAAAAGGAGGGGAGCCTCCCTGGAACCTTTGCTGCTGTTGTTCCAATGGAGGCGTCTTCCCTCCCCGCCGCCCCAGCCGGGTGCAGATGTGTTCAGTGACAGCGCTATCGTGGCAGGTGGAGCTCAAGACCAGAACAGGAGTGGGGGGCGGGGGCTTAAACCTCCTCCACGGAAGTGCTGCTGCCCCAATCCGGATCAGGGCCATGCACACTCGCAGCAGCGCGTGTCTGCACGCACGCACGCACTGTGCCAACATCACCCTTGGCCCTTCGGCTAAGAGGGCCTTGGTGGCCCAAGGTCACGCACTGGACTTCGTGGCTGAATGGTGATCTGGACACGGGCCTCGCTGGAACTCATCTGACACTCTTGGCTTGGATCCACAAGACACACTAAGCCACCGTGGCTTCACGTGTTGCCCAAGCCCACCCGCTTCCTGAGCCAAGAACCCATGGCTTGTTCTGGGGTTTACGTAACTGGCCATCGTTTTACCATGTCGTCCAAACCCAGGTGACAGGCTAAGTCACAGCCAGGCTGAAAACTATGGAGCTGCTTCAGCACGGTGGCAAAGGTCTTGCTGCACTGGCCTCGTGACTGCCATCAGCTTCCCCTCCCAGTGCTCCGCCCGACGCCAGAAAAGCCCTGGCCTAGTGCTGGCACTGGGGACCACAAGCCACTTTGCACTCTGCTTCCTCTGCAGAGGGGGCCAAGCACAAGAGAGTTGCCCCCCCACCTCCCACCCTTGCTCAGCGTGGAGGCTGCTCAGCTGAACTCACTCCACCAGTTTGCTCAGCGCTCCAGTGGGATGGAGGGGCAGGAGATGGATTCATTCCTCCACTGTGCTCCACTGTCTGGCCGGCTCATCGGAGGACCAGGCAAGGGGGCCATGCTGTGGGGCAACGAGCCACTGGCAGCTTCTGGGGTCATGCAAACCCACCCTCCGTCTGTGCTGGACGACACCTTTCCACATCCTGCGGTCAACATGCCGGGAGGGATAATGAACTTGCAGCCCAATCCTCTGGAGGACTACAGCTCCCATCAGCCCTAATCAGTAGAGCCAATGATGAGGGATGATGGGAATTGTATTCCAAAACCTCTGGAGAGCCACAGGTTGTGAACTGCTGGTGAAGTGTTTGCAAGCTGGCTTTTGGCAGCCCAGGTGTCTTCGTTAGAAACTCGGGCTGCCAACGCACCTCCAGGCATGTCTGTGCAGCATCTCTCTGTACACAGCGGGGTGAAAACGCCTGAGGAATTTGCACCGCAGCATACAAGCCCGGCATGGCTAAGCGCTGCTCCTGCGCCGCTGTAAAACAGGGCGTAAAATCAAGCACCAGGCTTAGTTCTGTTAGGAAACTGAAGCAGGGAGCCTGCAAGCTGGAGACATAATTTTGTTCTGACTAATGTGATTGATTGAGCTTTTCCTTACTTGCCTGGACTACACTGCATTATGCATGGGGCAGCGTCCCCCCCGTTAGTTAGACGGATCAGCTCGGGCTAATTTATCTCCTGGCTTCTCCCATTTTCTCCCCTCCCTCCAGTGTCTCCACTTCCCTGGCTCTCCAAGGTCCTTCTCCAATCCGGCACTGCTCCTTCTGCACTGGGTGTGCAGGGCAGGGCAAGAGGGCAATGATTTGCACGTGCCGATTTGCACAGTGCAAACAGTGGTGTCCAGGTGACTCATGCACTTGCCCGCTCAGTCCGTTGCCCAGGGGCCTGCTGCTGACGGGCAACAGTTTGCACAGTCCTTTAAACCTACGCTGAACAGGGCAGCCCTTCAGAAAGAGGCTCGCCCTCTCTAGAAGAGGGCCTCTGGCTCCCCTGTCCTTTCTGTTGTGTTGAAGCAGTAACAAGAAACTCAGAGGAACACCCCAAAAGTTCTTTGGAGAAGCAGGCACGAAACGATACTTGCTCGACTGCAAGTGACTGAACAAACCACATCTCAGGCAGGAAACAGCTCATTCAGATCGGCAGTGCAGATCAAATGGCCAGAGGAAAGAAAAACTCTTCTGAGGTGTATTTTCCAAGTGCCACTGGCTCGGCAGCCTCACAGTGCCGTTCAGAGACTAAACTTCTGGGCTCACATCCCAGGCCTTCAACATACACGTCTCCACCCCCTCCCGGCCCGTTCCATTAGCGTCTCTTTCCCTAGCAGTTGTAACCAGCATTTCAGAAAACCAGCTTGCGGAGAGGAGAGCGTGGCATGTTTGAAATCTAGATGGCGCGCCCTATTGCAAGGGAGGAGAAGGGCTGCATCTGTGCTGTGTGCCGAACGACCCGGCTTAGAAAAACTCCTGCTTGCCACCTGAGAAAGTTGCTGCCAGTCAGTGCTGACAATACTGAGCAGGATGGACCACACTGCTCAGTATCTGGCAGCTTCCTAGTTTCTTCTTACAACAGATGTGATGATGATGGTGATGATGATGATGATGATGATGATGGCACATTTTAATTGCATTACAAATTGCAGTAGAAAATCCAAGGCTCTCATCAGACTGGTCAATGCACAAGACAATGCTTTTTATTCACAAAACATAAGGAACATGAGGATGCTGCCATAAACTGAGCTGGTCCATCAGTCTAGCCCAGTTATGTCAACACAGACTGGCAGCAATGGTTCTCCAGGCTTTCAAGTGGTATGCATCATTTGGAGATATTGGGGCTGAATGTGCAAAGCAGGGACTCTACCACTAAGCTACAGCCCCTCCTAGAGATCTCCTGGGTTACACGGAAAGGAAAAGCTGTGAATTCTGAATGGTCCAATGGAAGTTCCCAAAAGGTTACTTTTCCTTTCATTGACTTCCATACTTGCAACCATGTTAAGAACATTGAGACACAGGCCCATTATTCTTTCGTGCACAAGCTCTGCTTAAATGGAATCTCTCATCCAAAACTGATCAGAAGAACATCAGTTCTCCTCTCCACTCGTCCATCTGCTTCTCCTCCTCAATTATTTCATTGACACCTGGAGGGGTTCTGGGACCTGCAGCAGGTGTGACATTGCGTGTCCTATGGCGACCCACCTACATGCAAGGCTCCAGTCACCCACGTGGTAGGATAGGTGCTACAGATATGCAAAAGATGTGAGATTGCGGGTGCCCTGCTACAGAAGCCCGAGACCAATTCCCCTAACCATCTTTCTCCCTCTGGTTGGTACCGTACATAATGAGCACATTCACACATGCGTAGCAACCCACCTGAACAATTAAGCCACGGGGGGTTGGGGATAGTAAGAGCAAATGACGGTGTCCGCAGGAGACAACCAGGCACACGTGGCTCGTCCCCCTCCTCCCTGCCCTCCCTGCTGGTCCTCGTGCTGGGATCCCGCGGCACCCTGCGACAGCACCGACCTCTCTCTCCTCTTCCCACCATGATTGTGAGCTGGAGGTTTTTGTCCCTTGACCCCGTTTGTGGGGGGAGATTGCAAGTGTGCCTGGACAGCCAGCTCCTGCAGCCTCTCCTCGGACCATCACTGCCGCCCTTTCAAAGGGCTCAAGCAGCACCACAGAAGAGCTTCCAGTGGGTGCCAACGCTTTTAATCCAACATATGCACATGTTTTGGGTTTGAACCACGCCTGCCTAACAGAAACCACCCATTGCTCTGTCTGGACCCTATTCTAAAAGCAGGCAGGATGCACATTTCCTCTTTCCCAAACAACTTGAAGTTTCGGGAAGTATGCAAAATAGGCTGGGATCAGCCGCCGTGAGCCGTCACAGCCCCGAAGTAGCCCCGTCCAGTCCTTTGTGGTGGATGCAGTTTCCCAAAAGGAGGAGTCCTGGCTGGCCAAGCTCGGGCTGAGTGACTTGCCCTTCACCTGAACCCCCGAGCCAAGAATGCGTTTCACCCGCAGGTCTGGGTCATAAACTGAGGGCACAATCGCCCGCACAACGGCCTCAGCTTGTCCCGCTTTAAGAGGCACAGCTCTGTTTATTCCTTCCCTGTACGTGCCACCAAATACGTACGAGCCACTGGAGCAAATCCTGTTTGCTATTTCCACGGCAGAAAAGCGGCCAAACCAGCACATGTGCATCAAGGTGTAAAAATACCTGGACAAGGCCTGCCAGAGTCGCTTCTGCGTGTTTTCTTGGCCTGCCCACCTCCTCAGCCACTGTGTGTGCAGGATGCCGCCTTGCTGGAGGAGGTGACACTCGGCCAGCCAGACTCGTGCCCACAGACTTTCCACGAACCTTCTTAAAACCATCTAGACTGGCAGCCACCATGGTGAATTCCATAACTGTATGCCGCATGAAGAAGCCCTTTCTCTTGTCTGACCGAAAGCTTCCCCCAGTCAGTTTTGTGGGATGACTCCAAATTTGTGTGTTTTGGGAGAGAGAAAAATGCCTCCCTCTCCATTTTGCCCACCCTGTGCATCATTTTGAGCACCTCTATTATGTCTCCCCTTCCTCGCCTTTTTTCTAAGCTGAATAGTCCCAGTTTTTGCAGCCATTCCTCAGGGGGAAATGCCCCAGCCCCTGGATAACTTTCATGGCCTTTTCGGCGTTTTTCCAGTTCGGAAATGTCCTTATTCAGGGGAGGCAAACAGAACTGAACACAACAGTCAGCGCAGAATACTCAAAACAGTTTTGGTGTGTTGTTTACTGTTTTGTTGCATTGTGTCTATGCCTTTGATCTTGTCAACTACCCAAAGTGGTTTATATGTAATAAATAAATGCTCACAGTGTAGTCACACCAAGGAGTTGTACAAGGGGAGTAAGATCTTTGCAGTTCCATTTTCTGTCTTGTTTCTAATTGTGCCTAGCATGGAGTTTGCCTTCTCCACAGCAGCTGAGCCCTGGGCTGGAACTTTGACTGAGCTCTCCATTACTTCTCCAGAACCCCTTCCTTGGCCTGTTACTGTTACTCCCAGTCCCATTGGTGTGTATTCGTAATTCAGATTTTTAGCTCCAACATCTATTACTTTACACTTACTTATATTGAACTGCATTTGCCAGTTCAGTGCCCATTGCTCCACCTTGGAGCGATCCCTTTACGGTTTTGACCCTTCTAAATAATTTGGTGCCACCAGCAAATGTTCTTCTTACTCCTAATTCCAGATCATTTACGAATAGGCTGAAAAACATTGGTCCTCATCCAGAACCCTTTAGGAATGGGCTGGCGATCATTCTCCGTGGGAGAAATGGCCATTCCTTCCTGCCCTCTGTCTTCTGCGCTGTAACCAGTTTGTGATCCATAAGGGAACTCGCCCCTTTTATTCTGTGACTGCTCAGTTTGCTCAGGAGCCTTAAGTGAGGGACTTTGTCAAAAGCCTTCTGGAAGTCCAGGTAAACCATCGTTACCAGATTGGGTCCGCCTACATGCTTGTTGGCACTCTCAAAGAACCCCAGTAAGCTTGTGAGACAAGACTTCCCCTCATGGAAGCCATGCTGAGCTTTTCCCATCCGGGCTGGGCATGCTATATGTTTACTGATTCTATCCTTAATGATGCTTTCGAGCAGCTTGCCGAGAATGGATGTTGGACTAACCAGCCTGTATTTTCCTGGATCTTCCCTGGATCCATTTTCAAAAATGGGCGTTTCATTGGCCATTTTCCAATCCTCTGGTACAAGGACTGTTTTTAGGGACGGATTAAATATTTTGGTGAGAAGGTCAGCAATGCCATGTTTGAGTGCTTTAAGTACTCTGCGAGGGATACTGTCTGGACTTGAGTGACTTGGTGATCTTCATTCAGGTTATCAATCAGGTTGGGAGCTTCTTCCTTGGTGTTATCTGCCTGAATTCCTCAGACTCCCTTCCGGGACTCGTAAGCTCAGGGGCAGGTGGGTGCTCGTCATCCTCTGTGAAGACTGAACACAAGAATTCGCTCAGCTTCACTGCAATCTCCACAGCCACCCTTACAGCTCCTGGAATTCCATCATTGCCCAGCGGTCCAACTGCCACTCCAGCTCTTTTCCTACTTTTGATATACGCGTATTTAAAGCATTTTGCACTGCTGACCTTGATGTTATTAGTGATATGTCCTTCCAACTGTTTCCTTGCTTCTCTGCTTGCACCTCCCTGGTGCAATTCTGTGGTCCTTTCTGTTCATTTGAACAATACGTCCATCTCCTGAAGGCAGCTTTCTCTCCCTAATGGTTTCCTTAACTCTAATTAACCAAGCTGGTGATTTCCTGGACTTTGTGCTGCCTTTCCTCATTTATTTATTTATTCATAAGATTACTATCCCACCTTGCTTTTTGCAAAGAACTCAAAGCAGCTTGCATAATTCTCCTCCGGCTGCTCTCAATCTTACCCCCACAACAACCCTGTGAGGTAGGTTGGCCTAATGCTATGCACATTTTCTGTTCCTCTACTATAGTATTTTTGAGTAATTTCCAGGTGCTATGAATTGATTTCCTTGGTCCTCTACCTCAGCTTCTGCTTAACCAGTCCCTTAATTTTGGGGAGTTCCCTCTTTTGAAGTCAAACACAACTCTGTTTGGCCTCCTTGGCAGTCTTCTACCTAACTGAATATTAAACCTGATGTGACTAATGGCTTGACAACATCTCCATCCTGTACTATGTCCTGGGCAATTCCACCAAGGCTCAACCCAGGATTGCCTCCCCTCTCATTGGTTCCACAGCGAACTGCGGCAGGGCATGGACATTTAGGACATCAAGAAATTTATCCCCTTGGTCAGAACTGGGGCATCCATTTATCCAGTTGATGTGCAGGTAGTTAAAGCCACCCTGTGCTTGGAAGCCTCCCTGCCTTCATTTCATTTCCTTGAGGCCATTAGCGGAGGGTCAGGGGGAGCCTGAGCTCCAGCTCGCTCTGCCACCGTGTGCCAAGCGACCTCGGACTTCTCCCTCTCTCTCAGCCCATCTCCCCTTCGTTGTGTCCATTGGAGCAGCGTTCCCCAGCCTTGTGCCTTCCAGGCACGCTTGGACTGCAGCACCCAGCGTTCCCAGTCATGGCCCTACTGGATGGGAATTCTGGGAGCTGCAGTCTGAATGCCTCTGAAGACCACCAGGTGGGAGAGGGCTGCATTGGAGAAATAGCAGGGTGTTGTGCTTACCTGGATCTCCTTGATGTGGAACGCCAGGATCAGGATCAGCAGTCCCGCTGTGGAGAGGGTGATGAGGCACTTCACCAGAAAGGAATAGGCAAACCACTGGAGGGTGGGAAAAGGAAGGGATCAGTGGGGGAAGAGCCTTGCATCCTCACAAAACCATGTGGCTGGCATCCCTCTGACAAGGTTGCACGAGCTGCCCTTCCCTCCAAGGTGCTTCAGCCCCCCAACAACGCTGAATGTCCGGAATTCCTTCCGAGAGGGGCCCACAAGGCTCACATCGGGGGTAGGGGGGAGTGTGCACCTCCAGGGGGCCTGCACCCCGGGGGGGGGGCATCTGACAAGAGCCCAAGGGCAGAATTCCAGTTTCAAAAAACTTGGAGGCTGCATTCCAGGGTGGGTGGAGCCACAGACAAAAGGGGTGGGGCCAACAGACCAGCATCTTTTAGCTGGGAGCTCTTACTGCCAGCAACTGAGGCTCAGGAATCTTCTAAAAATGGAGAAAGCAACTGTGCGAAAGCCACAAAATCAACCAATCATCATTTGTTTGGGAAAAGAGGGTCACCACCAGAGTCACCAGGTGAGTTGGATTTGGGCCCCGGCCTCTGCAGGTCCTCCTCCCCTGTGAGATACTAAAGCCATTGCATGCTGCTGTTAGTTACCGTAAGAGGCATCCAGGGGCCTGGAGGGGAGCATGGAATGAACACCAGGGAGAAGCGTGAATTTTAGTGGCAGACCGTGGGAAGGGGAAGAGGGCGGAGCTGGCTGGGGAGATGAGTCATTCCCTGTTTTATCCTGCCCAGGTTTCACTTTACTGCAAGAATACTGTCACTGTTCCTCAAATTAACACTTTGTGTGGGTTCAGACACCAGGATAATCCTCACTAAGGCACTTAGTATGGTCGAGTGTGGGCTGTCCTTGCCCCACAAACCACAAGCTGAAACTTGGAGTCTTGTGTTGTCTGAACCCAGCCACGAGAACAAACCAGTTTGCCCACCATTACCAACCCATGGTTTGCTGGGTTGTGAACTGTGGATAGCCCATGGTGAATAAATCATGGTTTATCATTGCAACTGGGTTCAGACAACAAATAACCCATATTTCAACATCCACCCATGTTGTCTGAGCCTAGGTTCTGTCTGTTGTTAACCTGGACTAATTATCAGTGAACCCTGCCCCCCCCCCCGCAAACCGTCCATAAACCATGCAATTAGATGCAGTTTTGTAGTGGAACCAGGTTTCAAAGGCCAGAACACCTCCTTTGTAACTGCCTATCACCACAATAGCTCCACAGAACTTGGAGAGGCTGGTTGGCAGGCAGTTCCGGGCAAATAAAGGGAAGTAGTTGTTCACAAGGTTTAAACAAAGGATTATTAACAGGGGGACTAGATGCAATGAGCACATTTTGCCTGTGTTGAAAGATGCACGCATTGGCATTCAGGCATTGTTTTGACGAAAACTCTCCCTGCCCTAACGGAGCCTTCCTCTACTCAGCATTTTAGATGGGAGGGAAAAGAGCAAAAGCCAGGAAGCCTTCCGAAGATTTGACAGGGGGAGGAAAGAGGGCTATTCCAGGAAAGGGGTGTGACCAGCTGGAGAAACTTGGGGGGGCCCGATTCTGACCTCCTGGTGGCCAGATCTAACCCATGTGCCTGCCGATCCATATCCCTGGACTAAATGGATCTCTGGCTGGCTCAGCAAAGCACTTCTTTTCTTCTTAAGGACCATGTTTTTGGAGTCTGCACTCTCATCGATTCATCTGGCCCTCTGTTTTCTTCTTTGCCATAAGAACGGCGGCATCATTTCTGTACCCCTGCTGGTCTGGATGGAGAACAACAAAGGTGGATTTGTCCTCAGAGCTGACCCAAGACATTCTGCTGCCTGGGAAAAGGCACCAGAGCTCCTCCTCTGCTCTCATTCCATGCATAGATGCTGATCTTATTTTGGCTTTGCTGACTGGCCGGCATCCCAATGGGGAGCGGGTTAATTCAGGGGGTGCAAAGCTGGCTGTGTGGCGCACACGGTGGGGACCCTCCCTCCACGTGCACATGTGCACGCGCCAGCATTCGCCTTACTGGGCCACCCCGTTCTGCCTCATGTTAGGGCCGGCCTGCTCAATTCTTTGCTCATAGCTTCACACTTTACAACAGGCGTTTGGTTTAAAAGCTCGCGAGCACTGCTGGCTGTGGGACTTTTGTACCTGACTCACGCCTCCACTAGATTAGCAGTAACAGCTCTGCTTGTTCCTCACCGAACAGAAGGAGTTAAAACCCTGGTGCCTGAAGGAACAGGTGAGGTGTGTGACCAAGGCCCCAAGTGCCCATAAAACAAACACCTCATTGTGGTTTTGTTGAAGGCAACAGTGTTCACCCAGGAAACAGGCTGCCACCTCCACCAGGTGCTCCTTAGGCAGGCGGCTGACTTCACAAGTGGGGCCACCCTCTTCACACACCCAGGCCACAAGCTTCTGCACACTTACTGGAAAGGGATGTGCAAGAGCGGCCTGAGAGCACAAGAACCTGCCAGCAGCTTCATTCCTCGCCAGAGGATGTAGGACTGACACGTTTGTTTTGCGTAAAATATGCATGCGCAGCACCGACCTCAGGGGATGCTGTGCCTTCCTCTGGGAGGCGTTAAAGCCGGAGGTTCACCCTGAAGGGAAGAAGGCTGGAGAAGGGCCACAGGTTCACCCTGGAGGAAAGCCTTTGTTGAGCTGAGCTGTGGGTACAGGAGCCTTTCCAAGGCCCAGCTCCCTTGACTCCACCTCTGAAAGGAGCCCAGCCAGGTGGGGAGACACCCTTTGCAAATATTATTAGAGTGGAGGAAGTGAAATGGGACCGCACTCAAATGAGACAGAATCAGGGTAGGACCTGAAGGACATTCAAGGGTGACAGAAACAGACAGCCTGGGGTGGGAGAAGTAGAGTAATTACGGCAGGGTCCTCGCACCGTTTGAGTGAGGCTCTTTTAAAAGCCGGAGGAAAGCTTTTAGTCTTGACCGACTGTCTCTGCAAAGCCATTCGCAGCAGCCCCGGTCTGCAGGTGAGGGGGGCCTCTTGGCTGGGGAGCAGCCCTGGCTGGCATGAGGAGTTGACAGTCTTTGAACTCAGCACTGCACTTCAATGCAATTAGCGGCTCACCAGGTTGTGTTCCAGGGCATGGAAGTGCTTCTGGGCTGAGTTTCCCATCTGCCAAAGGTGCCAGCGCAGCCCAGGGGATGCTTCTCTGCATGGAGGACAACCATAAGAGTGCATCCTCTAGCAAAGTGGATTTGCCTGGGACAGGTTACGGCTTTATCGATTAGCAATGCCACTGCTCCTTTCAAACATAGACCCCAAAGTGCTTTGCTAAAGAACACCAAGAAGCAACCCCCCCACACACCTCGGGGCTCACGGCTGGAGGAACGCTAAAGTAAACAGGGTCATTTTCGGTAAATGCCTAAACGTGCCTGTGTAGAGCCCTGGTGCATTTTCAGAAGGGTGCCACTGCAAAGAAGGCCCTTCTGTACGGTGCTGTGGAGCAGAAAGCTGTAGGCTGGCGAACAGACAACAGTCTGGGAAGGTGGAGAAAGGTGGATGTCCCTTGAGGCAACCAGGTCCTATGACAGAGCCTGGGAGCCACTCACAGGAACCCCTTTTCTCTTTTCCTCAAGATGGTGGTATCTGTTTATTTAAACTGCCTTGTGGGGAGTTAGAGAAGATAATTCCCCTAAAATAATCCCACTAGCACGGTGACTTTTCATCAAGTAGATTTGCCAATGTGTGTTTCAAATCATCAAATGAGGCATGAACTGGGCAACACACTTTCAGGTTGTTTTCAACAGCAACAATAGATCAAACAGGCACAATTAATTAATTCTGGCTTACCAGCACATGCTTCTGTATTCATCAGGTGAATCCTTTGGGTTGGGTCCAAGTTACTAACTTAAGTCCCATTCATTTTAGTGGGTTTACTTGCAGTAGGACTTACACCAGTTATAACACCCGAGACCCTGTCCTGGAAGAGGCAGGGGTGAACCAAGTCTGGAGTGAGGATGCTGGGGAAACAGGCGTTTCTAACAGAAAGTGGGGTGCCATCATGGCCCTTTCCATCTTGGCCCAGACCCAACCCACTTTTTGATTAGCACACTCTGAGCACAAAGAAGTCCAACCGAGCTCGGCTTGTGTGTTCCTCAGCCCTGCAAACTGAGCATCCTTTGAGAAGCAGGGCTGCTACCTTTTCACAAACAGGTAAACCGTACTTGGTGCCTTTGAGAACCAGGGCAGTGCAGTGGGATTAGAGTGTCCAACTAGGACTTGGGAGGTCTGGATTCTAGTCTCCCCGCTGCCACGAAGCTCACTGGGTGACTTTGGGCCAGTCACTGACTCTCAGCCTAGCCTACCTCACAGGGTTGTTGTGAGGACACAATGGAGCAGACTACGAGGACAAAGATGACATTTGCTGCCACGGGGTCCCTGCAAGTGAAAGGAAGGCTATAAATGCAGCAAAACAAATACACAAAATGTAAGAGCGACATGGGAAAAGGAATACAACAGACACACCTTCCTTCCTTGTGGGGTTGAGGGAAACGGGGCATAACATCTGCCTCTTATTCAGCCATTAAAGGTGCAAAGTCTTTATCAATTAAAAAATAAAACAGAAAATTACTGACTTCCTGCTGCTTAAAGGTAGGGCAGAGCAGTGTCTTCCCAACTGACATGCTCCAAACTAAAACTCCCATCATCCCCAGCTAGCAGAGCCTCCCAGGCCTGCTTCCCTGGCCTCCTCCATCTAGTTGTCATCCCTGCAGCACATCTTGAGGGCACTGAGTTGGAGAAGACAGGCACAGAGAGATCAGAGGCTTTCCCTCTGCTTTCACATCTCAGAATAAGCTCTTAACATTTCCGTCTTGCCCACCCTCCCCCCTGCTCCCCAGTCTTCCCTGTGCCCCACCCCAGAGCTGCACTGAGACCTTTTGCGTGAATGTCTGACAACCACTTTCCCCATCCATCTCTAGCCACTAGTCCCTGCTCCCCTCCCAGTGCTGAGGACAACTCCTAGGAGTCCCTTGGCTCCTCCGTCCTTGCCCTGGGCAGTTCCCACCGCTGATGTGTCACCTAACCC